CCACAGCACCATACCAGTGCCAGGCTGCTCAAGAGTTGGGAGATGTTGCTGTTGTGGTCATCTCTGCTTTAAACCTACAGCAACACGTTTTGGTAAGTGAAGGGATGGGCTGTTGCTGCAGTGGAGAGAGGCTGGTGACTGAAGTGATTAATGGTAGTGTGGAGTGTGATGGCTGTGGGCTCCTTGTTAGGGAGGGTGAAGCTATTTGGTGGATGAGGCAGTTGTTATGGGCAAAGGGTTTGCAGCTGAGAAATTGAAGTGAGAAGAAGATCAGCCAAGGTGAGAGGGTACTTATGAATTTTTTTGTGGGAGCACCTTCCTCCTCAGGCAGTGTGCTGTGTTAGTAAAAATAGCTACATGAAATTAAAGAGGATCATCATAGGGCAGGAGGTTGTCCCTGTGTGTCATCTGATACTGCTGTCAGTGTTCGTGATGGCACCCATGAAGAGTGGGTTTAGGAAGCCCAGGTTCAGCCTGTTTTTAGTCACCTCCAGACAGAGGGTCTTCTCTGTCCTGAAAGTCTTCCAGTGCTTCAGTACGACATCTTCACCTTTGCCTTCAGGAGGCAATTTGTAGACTATCCTTACAGTAGTTTCCAAGTGATGTCCAGTCTGATTGCAGTGAGAGGCTTTCTTTGCTTGAATATAGGAAACTTCATATACAGCATCTGGTAGGATAAAATACGATCAGAGGATTGCCTGTTCACTTCGGTTTGGGTGAAAGCAAAAGGCAAAGTGAAAAAGACCCGTCTTTGGAAGACACTAAAAAATCAGTGAGAATAAAAGAGCAGAATGCGTTAAAATCAACTGGCTGTTACCCAGCAACAGTATCCAACAGCCACACTCTCAGGGACAGGCTGCTTCTGCCTGTGCTGATCTTTTTCTGACTGATCTTTTCTGCATTGAAATGTGCATTTGGCTTTTCCCTCAGTTCTGCCCTGCCAGCTCAGGGCAGACACATCACCATGTCTCTGGCTAAAACTGGTGCAAAGATCTGAGGATCTAATCCAGCTAAAATAAAGGTAAATTCTTCATTTCTGGTAAGAGCTGCCACCTAACTACAGCAAGGGGTGTGGGCTGCTTTGGACTACCATTTTAAGTAAGTCCCAGTCTGCCTGAACACATCTTGCTAACATACAAGAGACATTAACCAGACTGCTTCAAATCTTGCTCCACAGTTACCACCAACTCTAGGCTACACCAAAGAAAGGGTGAAGAAGACACCCATGGGTTGAGGTCCAGCAAGGCTGCTGGAGCTACATCCCCTTGAGCTGCCCTCCCTGCAGAGCTCAGCCCAGGCCTCTGCAAACACACACAAAACTCCTCTGAGAGCTCTTTGAGTTGCACTCTGCATGGAAAACCACAGTATTTCAGCCCCTGTCATCCAGTGTCCCTGAAAAGCTTTGCCAATGCTAGTTTTCCACGCGTGCCCTCCTTTCTTGAGTACTCTGTCATACGCTGTCAATTATGGCTGAGTAGTGCTGCATAATCCCCAGACCACCCTGCACCTCAGATAATTCTAAAAAATGACCATATCTGAGCAAGGACATGTTTGCAGCCAGACTGAGAGGCATACTGGCATGTCTGCTTTCCTGGAAAGTGAGCACTGGTTGTAGGGAGGACATAAACTTTGGGGAGCTCATGCTGGCTCCTACCTTGCACAGAGCCATACCTGTGTAAGGTCACCAAAAGTTGATATGCCAGTAACACAGCTGTGCTGTGACTCTGAACTTGTGCAATACCAACAACATAAATATTTTGAAGAAATGACGGTGTCATGACATCTGTCATACTAATCTTGTGCCCTGCTCTGTACACCAAGTCCTGACTGTTCCTGGGCCTCCCTTCCTACTGCTCCTTCTTCCCACAGGCATGTGGGCTGTCTCCAGAAAGAGTTAGTGAGCTCAGAGCAGGTCGTGAGGTTAAATCAGGTCATGTCCTTCCCTGCCCCCCGCCCCTCCTCCCATCTACTTCAGACCACCCCTCTTCCCTTAGCTTAGTGCTGGTGAAAGTGTGGAATCAGAGGGACATGCCAGTGAGAGTCCAAAATTGCAGACCAAACATATTAATTTAAACACGGTGCCATTCTCCAGCTTTCTGGTCAGTCCTGCCCTACAACGGAATGGCCATGGGGCAGCTGTACAGCTGAGTCTGTAGCTCAGCAGTTCTGCACTATGCTTGAGCTGACTGGTAATGCATACCAAGGGGAAGGAACATGCTGCTGGGGTTTGTCCTCCCTGGACAATTAAGCATACAGTGAATTTCTGAGTCACAGGTTGGCATCCTTGCAGATCAAATCATTTGCCCAGTACTGGAATAAGCCAGTGTATAAGCCTGAAATTGTGAGCAGGTTCTGTTTGCTCAGCTGACAACAGTGTAGCAGTTGCTAATTCCATGCATCCCCTCAGAGCAAAAAAGGAGAAAATGTAGCAACCGGCAGAGAAAATACAGACTCTATTGCACTTTCCACTAAATACGCCCAAATGCAGGCAGACAGCTCTCTCCCCTCACTTCCCTGAATGCAGAGTGTTTGCTTTTTCCGGTGATGTAACCAATTGCTAAATAATAGACAAACCTGGTATGAACTCTCCTACTTATCTCTGTGCTGGTGTGCATATGGAAGAACATTTCTGCATTTTTCTCTGGATTTTAACAGCTTTGCAACTAGAAATACGCCACTGCCCTCTGCTGGAAAAGCACAAGCCAGGCGAGCAGAAAAGAAAATCAGAGTGGAATTCTGTAAATGTGTAACATTATTGCATTTACTGCACTTGGCACGGGAGAACTGTGAAGTGCAGCAAGACAGGGAAAGTGGGAGTCATCTGCACGCAGGGCAGAGCAGCATGCACTCTCTTACCACGGCTGACTTTCTCCCTCATTTTGGAGGGCTCCCAGGATGAGAAAAACCTTGCAGTGGAAGAAAACATCAGACCAGAGTTATCAATCTTTCTTCTGTGCTTCATGTATGGAATACAGCTGGGGTTTTTGAGAGCTATGTTTTTTGAGAGGCCTTACTAGAATAGTCTGGATAAAATGTGCCCAATTTAGGCTGTTACACGCTAAAGACTGAAACTGGCATTTATTTTGTAAGGTAAAGATCACTCAATGCACCTTGAGAAAACCATGTCACTCAAATTGCTGTCAGATAGCTGTCGTTATGCTATCCATATGGAGATCCCCTCAATGTGCATGCCCCATGAGTACTAAATCTGGACTTAATCTGAGACCAACAGCAGCATGGGCTTTGAGTGAGCAGATGTATCTGAATGGGCTACCTTTCCAGAATGGGCTTCCATAAGTTTTATTTAGCTATTCCTGGTGTGGTGTTTATCAGACTGATTTCTCATCATGAGGGGCACTAGTTTCTTCCTGAACTACAGAGGTATTATTGCTAGGTTAGTCTCCAAGCATGGAAATTCTGGAGCTGCTGCCTTGAAGAACCATGACAAATTTTCAGCTTAAAGCTGGAGGGTCAAAAATACTAGTTTACATTGACAGATGCCACAAATAGCCATGGTGCTGTGTTCCACCCACTCCACTGGCCTGCCTCCGTTGCTGGTCAGGGTGACATATTCTGAGGAAGGGGCAAGAAATCCCATTGAAAGTATACGAACATGCAGAGCAGCCCTTGACAACTGTCCTTCCCCTTCTTTCCATCTCGTTTTCCCTTTCTCTTCTTTATTTTTCCCTTTCCCTTTTCCCAGTGCTACAGTAAATGATTGTCCTGAGGATGGAAGTGTCACGATAGTGACAGGAGATCTGAAAATTAAATGGACCGAGTAACCAAAGACTAGCTAAGTGGAGAGTGAAGAGGAAAGCCTCCTTGGCATAGCAGCTGCTGGAGCACTGGGCATGAAATGTCTGCTCCACAGACTGGTTTGCATGATTGACTTTCCTGACATTAACTTCAAAGCCCTTTGCCTAATTTGCTGACCCATATATGGGTTTACGTCTTTATATACAGTAAATGCATAAAAACTTTTTATAATGACTCCATGAATGACACATTGCTGCCCTGCAACTCTGTAGCTGTCCCTGTGGTTACACAGATGTGTCTGATTATAGATCAGCCTTTCAAAAGCAATAAAATGAAGTGGCATTTATGTAACTCAATGGGTTACAGTAGGAAGCTGTTAACGGTAGAGGATTAAAATAAAATTGTTCTTGGTATTTAAAAAGTGATGAAGTGAGGAGAAAAATAAATCCACCCCCAAATGCTGCAAATCACTCTTTACAAGTTTGGCATCTGCCAAGATCCTACTTGGAAAAAAAACTAGGCTCCTTCCCACACTGTTCAAGGCATAAATCTCAAGGGTAGTGTTCACCATCCAGACACACATGGACAGACCATACACAGGCATACCCAGCATGCTTATTAATAAATGCCACCTATCCCATGGGGATTTTTAATGCTTTCTAAAAAATATTACTGCTAAATCTTCATATTTTGTGCATTTTCTGTGATGAGACTTAATTACAGATCTAACACATTTCAACAGATTTCTTTATTCTTTAAAGGTAAGCATGTAAAGGTAGACCACTCGTGAGACATTTATTGTTTATAGATTAGTAATCACTAATCAAGTGATTGGCTCAAGAAAATATTTCAGCAGTGATCAAAGTATGACTACAAGTTGAAAGAAGTTATTGATAATGAGGGACTAAATTCAGCTGGAGAGAAACATATGAAAAGAAATAACTTCTGAGTTTTAGATTATTCATTTGTATTACTTTAAAAGATCATCCCAGCATATTGTCTGTTGCCTTGATTTTCCTTTCATTTATATGACATGACAGCTACCATAAATAAATGAGCTTGCATAACTTGTAGATCATTCACTGAATGTGGCATTGAGTAAATTACAGAAGGGAAAGGCATATTCTGCAAAATGTGTTCCTCTGATGAGATGGAGTTAGGCTTGCACATTTATTTCCAACATTCTGGCTAGGCGTGTACCAGAATTCCACTGTGCAATTTTTGGCATTAAACACTAAAAAAGAAAAATAAAAGTAAACCATTCATTATTAAAAGACTTTAATTATTTGGAACACTAACATCAAAACTGTTTACTTGAAAAGATTTCTTTCCACTTTAGTCCATCTTCAAACCTGTTACACTATATTTCACTGACTAGTATTACAAATTAGATCAACATGTTTTCTTATACTTGTAAAAGACAGAACTACAGTAAATCGTTTCACACGGTGTTTAGAAAAAGACATATATAAGAAATTATTCTTTCCCTCTTCTTCTATGATAAAGCAGAAATCTAGTTTTAAAGTAACAAGAACAGTCATTACAGAACCGAATATATTTGACATATCTAACCTCACAAATAAATAAATATATACAAGGGAGGTTACAGCATGTCAACTACAAAACAGAAGCTTTACATTGTAGAATTGAGAGCATTCAAGAGCTGACATAGACAGTTTAAGATTACTACATGGTAGTAAAAAAAAAGAAAAAAATCTTAATTCGGCAAAAATATAGTAGCTGTACATTAAACTGATAGGTTACAGCTCAGCTTCATTCAGGATACTGTGTTTTCTTTTTATTTATATTTTACTGATATTTTTATTTTACCTATGTTTTATTGATTCCTTATTTTTTCAGGAATATTTCGTGTTCCTTTGCTTTTAAACACCTTAATCAGGTATAAATCTCACAGTAAGCTGCTATGTGAACCCTATTATCTACAGTAGTTAAGCAAGTGGGATGATAAAATATAAGTTCAGTAAATGCTTGTACATAATCTCTCCCTAGACTATTTCACTTATTAAAGATATCTGACAACACTCATCCCTGTTATTAATAACATTTTAAGTGAATCAGGTTGACTTTTTTTCATACCACCATGTAAGTATCTGCAGTTACAAGACTGAGGTTTCGTTAAGGCCCATGTAGCAACAACAGTGTTTCTGGATGGAATACCATCAGGACATCCTCCTCCCACCAGGTGTTTGCAGCCAGGGAAAATATGCCATTTGTGCGGTCACAGCATTAAATGATCTCTACACACAAAAGCATGTGCAAAGAGCAGAGAAAGCACAAATCCATATCCCTAATCACTGAGCATCCACCTGCTTGGCAACTGAAAAATCTCAGCACAACTTTCTGGTCACCTTCTGAATGCAAATAATTAAATATTTGGCTAAAAATAATTTGGTTAAAAAAAGTAATTTTAAAAACGAAAACTTCCATTAGGGGACACTCTCCTCTGAAAATAGTACTTGAAAATACCTGTGATGTTTCAGTGCATGCTTTCAGGAATGTGTGCAGCTACAATTTTTATAAACCCTGTCATTGGATCAAACATGCTTAATGAGGAGAGACGCCCTTTTGCCACTCATGGCCACATGCTAATATGTCATATATTTATAAAGTTTAAACAAGTAAGCATTTTATGCTCTTGTCTATTCTCTGCACATACACACCACAGCCCCCCCTCCCCAGTCACTGTGAACACAGTGTAGCAATGTAAATTCCCTAATATTGCCTGAAGACTGTTTAAACTCTGTGCCTCCAACAACCTCCATCAAGTCATCCAACAGGGATGCCTGGAAACATTAGGTGCCTGGAAAGATGTTATTTGTTTATTATTGGTAAATGTATCCAGGTTATTCTAATATTGCAATGCCATCTGATGGAGGTGTTTACACATACAGTATATCTGAAATACAGAGACTGATGAACTCATGGGTTTACAAAGAATTCACCTTGTATTTAAATACTTAAGTTTTAGCACCATCCATTGTTTTTAGAATGTCTGTGGTACACTCTGTGGTTTTCTCTGTCATATTTACAGTGTGCATTACTACAAAAATATGTGTGGAGAGAGTTCTAGGTATTTATTTATAGATCTATATATAGTTGAATGTCTTCAATTTTGTTTTGTGAAAAAGAACATTAAACACAGACTTGTGATGGGAAATGCTGCATTTCACATATACCAATCAATAAATGCTGAAACATGACTTTGTGTAAATTGTGTTTCTTTGTACATGGACAAAAAATGGCCTGAATTTACAGCGTATACTCTTTTGCATGATTAAGTCTATTTAGTTAAAAATGGTTTAAAAACCCTAACTGGTGTAAGGGTTTTACTCATTTCTGAATAAAGAAGAGTCAGCACTAGACAGTCAATAAGCAAGAATCTAACAAGTGTCATAGGGAAAATCCATATTTTCCAGTTGAAAAAGACCATCAGTAAACTGTTCAATGAAAGCTTGCCTGTACTGCGTGAGATGTCTGCTGTTTTCTCCAGGAGTCATGACTTGTTTCTCTTTGGACTATATAATTTAAAGTTAGGCTTGTGGCTCTTTAGCCTTAAAAAATATTTGCACAGGATTACAATTAGCTGTCCAGGTATCACGTTGGCTGGCACACACTTAAAAAACAGCTCAATACCATGGTGGAAAATTGTCTTTTTCCACAACAGTAAGAAGGTAGAGAAATCGGTCCTTAAGTGGAAGCTGTTAACAGAAGAGCATTATAAACTGGGGAAAAAATAACTAAACAGGTCACATTCTATGACATCCACTATTCTCAATTCCAGGCAGACTTTTTAACTTCCTTTGATTAAAAAGAAAATAAATCATAAGCTCAGTTAGAACTTTGTGCTACGACTAAATGTGTCAGACATGATGATATTTTTATAGAAGTTGTCGGAGTGAGGATTGCAATATCCTTTGACCTTGTCAATAACCTGGTGGACGGGGATGATTGATGTCTGTTCTCCATCCTCTTGGGCAAATTTTGAAGATGGCTTGTCAAGAAAAACATTCTCTAGGAGGAGGAAAAAGCAACAAGAAGTTAGGGCCTCTTACGCAGACTCACTGTTTAAGAGATGTGTCACTTCCATATAGATATGCCTTCAATTGCCACTACTGCTGAATGAAATTACTGCCCTAAAAGCCAGCAAAGAACTTTTTGGCTTGACATTGCTTCTTCTAAATTCTTTTAAGATGCCTGATTTTGTGGGCAGACCTTTCGGGTATTTCTTGAAATTATCCCCCTATTCTTTTGCCTAAAGTGTAACTGACTCCTATGACTTTTTAATATATTAATTTACTGTTGATGCTTTGCATCTTGATACCTTTTGATAGCACAGGAAATAGGGGTGGCCTCCATAAATAGCATCTTCACGTAATACAGTAGTGGAAAATGACAGTAAACAGATTTAATTATTTTAACAGTGGAGGTTTTGAGCTATGTACAGAAATAACATAAACTGTGCAGAATGTAGCAGAAAATGTCTCGCGTCTTAAAGCAGACAACAAGAGCTGAAACGGGCCTAAACTTTCTGCTTGTCTAGCATCACCGTTTTTTTTTCCATAATGTGGAGGGTACAGACTGAACAACTGTGGGGAGAAAAAGATGCAAAAACCAGGCATTCCTTCAGAGTCCATGAGCTATAAGCCAAGGGTGAAGCTGATGAGAAAAAGGAGCAAGGCAATTCCCAGACAGACTGAGAAAGTCTGCTCCAGTGGCTAACATAAATGCTGTTCGGAGAATGGTCAGTAGGTAGAGCTCATGTAGTGAGAAATGAGAAGGAGAGACCTTGTCTCTCATTTTCTCAAGTATGTTGTATTAACGAGCTTTCTTTCTTATCTCTTCCACTGTAGTGAATAAAGCTGGAACTAATTCTCTTAACCCAGGCAAGGTTTGGACCATTGCAAGCTGACAGTAAGGTGGAGTACCCTGGGAAGCAATGTTTTCTACAGGTGACATTTTTGATGGCTGTTTACAAGACCTTGGTGAAATCACCTTCAAAAATTCATTGTTAAAGGATCATTTAAGAATTAAGCGTATTACTTCAAGTATGATTCAATAAAAACTTTTTTCTTAGCAATAAATTAACTGAAAAATAAACAGTAACTTGCCCCTGCAGAAGTCACGATATCAAGCCATAAAAGAGTATAAAGTGCTGCAAAGGAGAAATGGCTTGCAGACTGAGAAATGAAAACAGTTTCACTCATGAAAACAGAAACAGGCATGTTCAGGAATATTGAGATGATTTTTTCAAAGCACCCAAGAATGTCCATGAATTGCAGTGAGTAACTCCATGTCCAATAGCAAATTTCTGGGTACTCTGTGCCTTTCAAATGTATGCATTTACCAACCTATGGCTTCACACCTAGATAAAGGGTTAAAATCATGTATCACTGAAGTAAATGGGAGTTGTATCAGAAAATTCTCTGCAGACATAATCTTAATTTCTCATTCATAGAAGTGTTGCATAGGGTATTTAAGTACTATCTACAAGTAGTTTGTTTCAGGCTTGTAGACAGCTGGGGCACAAGATGCCGAAGTGACCTCTTTCGTCCACCCAGAAGGGTCCACCCAATATTTGTGTTGGTGCATTCTGCATTCAAGCAGCAGTTCACAGGATGGCTTGCAGGCATATACATTTTGTCACTCAGAGTTATTCTGGGTGTGACTGGATATAAAAAGAAAAAAGACTAATACGATAATGGCCACAGACCAAATAGAAATACATTATCTTAAAATTCCTGTGATAACTTTTATAAATACTAACAAATCTTCTGGAACTCAATCAGATTGGTTTTGCTTTTTAATGTATGCTTTGTGTATGGGTGTTTCAGGACAATTTCCTTTACCCAGACTACTCTACACAAGCACTAATGTCAGGACATGGTCTCTTTTCTAATATGGTATCTTCCAAATGCTTCATGCCCCATGCAGAGTGCAGACACCCAAAGTTTGAAGCATGCTTATCCTTTGATTCAGCATCAATGGAGCAAGATGTAACAGTGAGAAATAAGCAGTGTTTCTGATTAGCAAAATCCTTTGTGTCAATGAGGACATCATGCAAGAAGCATCCCTCCACCCTGTTTCAACCATGCATTCAACAAAAGCAATTCTCACTTTACCTGTAATGCTCCACCACTGATGAGGAAAGGGCCTTAGAAGACATTATCTATACCACAAACACATGAATGCTTGTGTCAATTCCAGGGAGCACATTATAACCATATTAACAAGACTTGCCAAGACACGTAGCTATTACATTATTTGCCTGAAATTTAGCTAAGTCATCAAACTGAGAAGTTCAGTTGTATTAAAAATCAGAATATGAATATTATTTTTTATTATTTTAACACATGAGAAGATATGCTAGTATATGTTAGCAAAAATTCCTGTGAAGTATCACAATAAGATGTGTATTTTTAGAGATCAAAGCAAAATGCATTAAAATTTTAAAAATAAAACAGTCATATTCCCTTAATACCCAATAAACGTTTACATTACAAACTTCGATTACCTTGCCAACTAAAATCCCTTTTAGGAACAATTTATGCATGGGATTAAGCTCCTAACTTTTGAAAAAGGTATATGAGCAAGTTTCTTTTAACTTACTACTTCGTATCTGGAAACAGTTTCTTTGTTTTGCTTTAAAAACACATTGCAAAAACTCCAGCCCTAAGTTTAATTGTCAGCCTGATAAATAGTCCCGAGTCCAACAAAACATTTAAGCATATTTTTATCATTAATCCCAAGACCAAGAGTCTAAAAACTGATCTGCCAAGAGTACAAATGGGGATTCTCTGGCTTCAGAACACAAGGCTGTCCTCTACTATTAAATCAACAGTAGCACTGTGATTGGTGGATATTAAGGATGCTATTTGTGGAAGACTGCTGGTAGAAGTGTCCTTCCATAGGGAAGAGATGAAGACAGCTTGATCAGGGCAGCTGGGTGCACTGAAGACCAAACCTGACATGGCAGCAAAGACAGGCAGCCTAGGGAGGCAGGCACCAGCTGTGTGCTCCCAGCACAGTTGTGAAGAGCAGTCCTGAGAGCAAGCTCAGGTGTTATCAGGGAATTTCTGAGATACACAGACATTCTCTATAACCAAAAAAATTTTAAACTCTTATAATACCTGATGTGCAATCCCTCTTGCTAATGGATGCAATGAATATTGGTCACTGGGAAAATAACAATTTAATTTAAAAAAAAATGAGATTTCTAGACAAAAACGGTGTGCCTAATCAAATCAGGCAATGATCATCAATAAAAAAATGGAAGGTATTTCTTGGAAACTATGCCATGTATCAACAAAAGAGAGTGTGCTATCATAAGAGAGACACTGGAGACTTATGAAAACAATTTATACTTAAGAAACAACATAACTTTCATTCTAGTAAAATCATCTACTTCAAATATAAACATTGTTTCTAATAAAAATTTTGAAGCAAGTAAACACATCTTTGGGTTAAATATGTGCACAGATTTTATTACCACTATGTTTATAATAGAGTATTCTGTAATAATGTATGTGACTTTACACAGGACAAAAACAGGAATTCACCAAAACAGAGTAACAAAAAAAAAAGTGAACTATATGTGTAATTTTCTGAAATATGATCTCAGACATAACCAAACTTGCAAATCATTCCAGCTCCTCTCTTTCTTTGCTCCCTTAAAGTCTTCTTAAAATGAGCACATTTTCATGGTATGAGTGGAATACAGATGATGCCTTTTATTACATATACCATCGACATCTAAATAAATAAGCAGTAGATATGGCATGCTATTTGTAGAAGGCCAAGACAATGCATAATCTAGGAACACTGTATCCATTTCCAAGTAGGCTCCATTTGTCGTTTTACCCATAAATGTTTTACAGTTAGATGGAAGGAGTTTAACCATGTGCATCAGCTGTGGACTTGGACTCTGAAGACTTGATTCCTATTTCCAGCTGTGCTGCCAGCTTTCATGTTACCTTGGGTGATGAACGTCATCTCTCTGTGCTTTGGCTACCCTGTGTTTACAATAGGATAATAAGCAAGATTTGCTTTCATCACACCTGCTTTATTTAGTATGGGAACATACCAAGGTCAGAACTATATATTGGATGTATTGCATGTTAGATAATGATTCTTATTAAAGTAACATATATTTAAAAAATACACTACACAAATTGATGAAATTTTCTCACATGGACCTTTGGGTAGAAACAACAACTGTACCTTTAACATGAAACTGTGTATTCACAGACACACTTGCACACAGTGTAAGAACTCACCTGTATGGCTGTTTCGTTTGCAATATGTATTTGTTGTAGATTTTGATTTGGATGTTAAGTAGGTTGAATTGGAGCCGATGGAACTAGAGGATAAGGATTTCCCAAGATTATCAGAACTCTTCTTTATAATATTGGTTGCCGTTTTGCTCCAGTCTAAAAATGATTGAAAAGTTTTACATAAATAACTACCATAGATACTAAATGCCTAATTTATTCAATTATGATTATTTCAGGTAACAGATCCATTTCTTAATATTGCTTACAACAAACAGCCTATCCTTTTCCTGTTAGGCAGCCTCTTTCGTTCTTAAGAATCAAAATTATTCCAACTTAATTTATTCTATCACAATAGTTAAAATTGGTGGCTCTAACACTCTAACAATCATTTGTTAGATTAGATTTGTTAGATTAGAACTGCAAATAAGGCCTAGCTTTCCAGGCTACAAGAGAGCAGAGAAGGTCTGTAGCAGTATAAGGATACCATACTTTCATGACCTGAAGAGCAAAATCTAAAGGGATGGATAGGATCATTTACAGTTATCTTACCATCTGAGGGCTTGATCTGCTGAGGAAGACACTACATACTAGCAGATTCTCAGCTGATTGTTTAGAATATTGGTGCACTATTATCTTACACTGTTTATTCAGTCATTCCCATTTTAAGAGTTTTGTCCAAACCATTAACATAATAGGCTCTTATGCTGGAAAAACAACTTAAAAAATCAAATTAAATAACTAATACTGATAAACTGAGTGAGGAAAACTACCAGTGAAAAACTCAGCAGTCTGTCCCAATATCAGTAGAATAAAAGCATCCAACTACTTCTGTATCAGATACTTGCAGGTAAGTGCAGGAAGTTTCACATTTGAATCACCTTGCTGTTATTCACTGTACTTCAATGAAATTCACAAAATGGAAAAGAAGTCCAAACCAAAGACACCTAGGTCACTTTATCCAAAATCATTGCTATAGGGTTTATGTATGCAAGTTCATATTTGACTTATATTTCACTGTTCTGCCTGAAAACGGTGTCAGGTTCATGCAGATTAAAACCAGCTCGTAGAGATTGACTAGTTAATGCTAGACATAATGACATCACATTAACTATACCACTGAAGTATTCAAATCCTTCATGTTTTTATTTCTATCATATGCATAAGCTGTTCAACAGCAGTATAAAAAAAAATAGTTTGATCCATCTGCGTTTTTCAGTTCAGGAGTTACAGCATAAACCACACAGAAGCTGAACGTATGAAACAATTTGGATGTCTGATCAGAATGAATATGATTTTCCCAATTTGTATTAGCTCTTTGAAATAATGAATCAAGCTTTCTTACTACAAAATGAAAGTATGTTTTAGAGTGTACAATGAGAATACATTCCCTAAACAAAACAGAGCAGGACAAGCAAAAGCCTTGATAGCAAAGCAGTTACTTTAAACCCTGAAACAAGCCCTGTATGCCAAGAGAAAAAGAAAGGACACAAGGGTATTTGGAGAACTGTTATTACCCAGGACAGACTGGCTTACCGTAATGGGCTATGAGCTTATGCCACTTTACATCAGCTCTAGATTTGAACACTGGTCATTGAGCAGGAACCATATGAGAAAGAATTATATGGTCCAAATCACCACATCAGGCAGCAAAGCAAAATCCAGATGCCTGAACACAGCAATCTAATGCCATCCGAGATGGCCAAAGGTGCAGGAAACTACAAATGCAGTGGCCCAAGTGTTACTTTTACGTGTCCAAACCAACTGCTCTCCTTGCTCCCTGACTGTTGCAGATAAAGTTGAGCTTCAGCCATGGAACCTAATCAGGTTTCTGCTTAAGGAATTTTCTATATTTCTGAGTGTCTAATGGTCTTTCTGAATTAAATGGTGAAGGACAGACAGTTTAAAAAGAAAGATAAAAGCAAAAGAAGACAGAATATTTCTACGCACTTTTTAAGAGTTGCTCCTACATCAGCCTAGCAGTTCACACAATTCAGTCAACATACTTTAATGCAGGAGAAAATGAGTAAAATGGATTTTGAATGACAGAGTTTGAATGTCTGGATCCTTATTTAATTTTTTTTTTGCATGGCCCAAAGGGCCTTCCAAAACCATGCTTATAGCAGTACAAAATTTACCAGCTGCTTTCAGTGGAAAACTGAGAGACTTGAGAGTTTTTATGAAGTGATATCTGAAAAGTGCCTTGGCACTGTTAGTACTGAAGTGACAGTCTGTGATTAATATATTTTTCCACATCTCTGGCTTACCTTTTATTATATTAAAAGTAACTAACAAGCTGTTTACCTGGACTTTTAAAGACAACTGCAGCACCTAAGGACGGGAGCTGTGAACTGTTTTTACCTGAATTGTCTGCCAGTCGGAATCTGCCACAACAGAGATGTCTCCTCCATTGTTTTTGCACATTTTCTTTCATAGCACAATGGAATACAAATATAAACAAACCTTGAAAAAAGCAAACAAACACCAAATGAAGCATGTATTTATAAACAGATAAACAGATTAACTAAAGTCTATGATCAAAAGTCTATGAAGTACAAGCAAAGAAAAAATAATCTTAAGATTTTGTTATTGTCATCTATGCCTCATTTAAGAGGTACGGAAATTAACGAAAAATTTTCCCATCCTCTAGTTGCTATATGGGTGTTTGAGATATTAGAATACAGAGAACAGGACCCATTTTATTGGCACTGTTGATATAGATTCAGCTCAGTGCTGACCTTTTAGTTTTATTTTTTTTTTGGCTTAGAGGAAAATGATTAAAAGGTTTTTTCTTTGAACCAAATTACTATTTTGCAACCAACAAGACTGCAAGAGACAGACTGCAAAGTAAATACAGACACTATGATATTAGCAAGGAGATAATTTATCTCCTTCTGTTCCATACCTACTGATCTGTGGGCTGCATTCTTTTAAAACCAGAAGTCTTGCAAATGGCATTAATGGGTGTCCTAAAAAAGCACACTTGGATTTACGTGCATCACATGTATGTACTTGAAAAGATTATGAAAATGTTAAGAATATGTTCAGAAGTATTAATCAGGTGTCCAACTACAAACTTCCAAAGAAAATGAACTGATTTTTGCATGGAATTGCAGTAAAAGTGTTTAAGAATGTTTTTGCAGAGTTGATCTTTCTCAAGCAGTTGTTAAATTTTGATTTTCAAGACAGGAGATAAGCATCCTACCATGTGATAAAGTAGGTCTTAACAAGACATATGGTACAATTTCATCATTCTACAGATACACTTTGGAGCTAAATATAGTAGCTGGAAATCTTATGTACTCCTAGTTTTTCCCAGGCAGGCTCTGTCTGTGGAATCTTTCGTTGTTCTCCAGCTTAGCCTATTCTTGTTTTACTCGTATTCTCTGGGAGAGAGCCAACCTGAGGCTGAACACCTGATGGCAAAATGCTACTGCCAAATCCCTCATGATTACATATTAAACATGAATAAATGCTACATAAGGTGGGCAAACGTGGTCTAGTGGCTTCCTCTAATACCATTCCTTTATGATTATCATGAATGGTTCCATATATTAATGAGTACTGTGTTTCAGTTGGTAGAACAAAATGGCAGGGTATAGCTTGGATAATAATGCTCTAGAGACTCAAATTATCTTCTCTCCTCCAAATTGCTGAGGTCTAATTTTCCACTAATGCATGTCATTGAACTGGATTTGTATTTGCTTATAGCCATCAGGCCAGGATGAGACCTCTGAGATCACTTAACTTTAGGTAAGGGTTGTGTCATGAAACACGTTTTTCCCAAATTTTTTCAAGAGCTGATGGGGAAAAAAAAGGAAAAACACAATTTAAAAAAGGCAAACATACCTTGATGCATCTCATATGTAACCTCTCTCAAAGTATGGTTACTGTGTTTGCATTTAGTGAAATAATTTTGTGTGATTTGTTTAAAACACACGAGCAATTCCAATGCAATCATCAGCAGCTCTTACAGTCTTACAGTCTTAGAGACATGCAGTTCCTCTTAGGGCTTCTGCACAGCTACAAACTTTGTAAATTGATGCTTTATTAAATCGCAGTAAATGTTTGGAACATTCTGAATTGTTAAAAAAGAAAATGCATATTCTGTAGTAATGCAAAACAAATGTACTGCATTAAGTACTTTGCCTTTGCCCTGTCTGGGCTTGGTCTCCAGAATTTTTTTCTCTGTATTTCATTATTCATTAAGTTTACAATGTGCTTTTAGTAGTACAGCTTTGGTTTTGTTTCCCAGAGACAAATCAGACCCTAGGCTTGGCTGTAGCTTGGCTCTGACTTGAAAGTATTTGGCTTGCCCAGGCATATATATAAAATGAGCAGCCAAAAAAGAAATGTTCCCAGATTTTTTACTCTGTGCCTCAAGGAGAGAAAAATAATTTCCTATGTAGATGAAATAGCAAAGTACAGTAACACCAGCAGTTGCTGCAATTTGCTTTTTCACTGCCAGTGCACAGAAAACTGCTGATGGAGGCTGCTGGTATAGCTTAAAATACTCATGCAGCCTTCAAAAACTTGAGAGAGAATAATAATAAACGTATTCATTAAATAAACGTATTTATCAAGGTCTCGATAATTAAGCTCATGCTAATACTGCTAAAAAATTTGCCATACTGAACTGCTTTTTGGCTGCTAGGAAATGCCTCCTGACACAAATCCTAATTTTTAGTTTGTTCCATTCCACCCCCTTACTGGTACATGAACACTGCACCACTTCTATGTGATTTTAAACATACCTCTTTTTTCTTTAGCTTTGCCTAACTCTTTCACAGCAATAAGTACTTTCATATAGGAGATTGTTATCTTCCTGGGCTTGATGTGACATGCCTGAGCGTATACTGTGTCACTATTGCTACCATAATCCAAGAAAAGTTCATCACTCTTCTTTTTGCGTTTACTCCTCAGCTTTTTCACTTTCATCTTCTGACTTAGTTGCCTTCCAAATACTCATTTTCCATTAAACAGTGCTGTTACCCCACAGAGACTTAAACAGTGGTGGTTAACCTTGTGTGCACTCTGCACATACAAGCTTAATTGATTGCACTGGAAATTCTGGTTACAGAAAACTTGTTTAATTTGATCCTTGGCACGCTTTTCAGAATTTAAATCTTTTTTCATGTTCTTCCCATACTTCTAATCTCTCTAGGCCCTTCTGAATTTCTCACACAGACACAATGCAGCAAATACTTCATTATGCTGCTAGGGGAATATCAGAATCTGTCCTTTGGAAAAAAAGGCTTCAGTAAGAACAATAAACCATTTTTGCCATTTTGCCCAGAATTTTAGGTTAAAACTGACCCAAACAAAAGCCCAAAACATTACTCTCTTTCCATGAAAGTACAATAAATCTTTTAGCACAATAAATACATCTCAACTGTATCAGATAAAATCCACACAGGATAACATTAAGTACTTTTTCCATAAAGGGAATATATTTTGCTAACCCTAAGAAAATTTAATTTTTATCTTAATATTTGTGTTGCAACACGTGTTCCTTCAATGACATTCTTGAGTTTGTTTTTTGTTTTGGCTTTTTTTCAGCCAAATGAATTTTTTATATCAATATGTGTATGGTATAACACATGCCCTTCCAATAATCTTCTTGGGTTTTTCTCTTCCTTATGCTTTCAATAGTTCTTTATTAGTGGGTAGGGTAAGAGTTGGTTGAGAATCTTATAACATTTGATACATACACAAATTTTAGCTCTGAGCTGAAATTTTTTCTAAATGTCAGCTATATAATTCTGTAATTTATAGCCATTTGAGTACAGTTCACAACATTTTTCAGAAAGACAAACTATGCTGGAAAATTAAAATATTCAAAACTTGATTAAAGGAAAGGAAAATAATCTGACTAAAACAGTCACTGGATTTTTCTTAACCAAAGAATATCCCATAAGTCTGTGCTATCTCTACACACTGAAACAGGAAAAGAGGACTGAATTTTGTTTTATGAGCTTTTCATGCCTTAATAAAATAGTTGTGAGCTTTACAGATTCCCTACAGGAATAAAGTAGGGAAGAAGGCTTCCTATATTTGAAAAGAAATGTTGAAGGCGACACAGCATCTATCTCAACAGTGAACACTTCAGACTGTTAGTCAGGAATAGCTCTATTTATAATATAGTACATTTTATGGAAAAGACCTTGAAACGTCAACTAATTTATGAAACATATTCAATCCACATGTAGTTGGGATCATTATTCCACATAAGGGAAATAAATCAATGATGGTTTTGTATCAATGGAAAACCTAGAGATTGAATATGAGTTCCCAGTCAAATTACTGGGCATAGTATGCCCCAGAACAGCAATAGCTCAAATATTATTCATTTACAGAACAAAAGTTCAGCTTACCTTGCAAAGAATTGAAAATTGAGAAGAGGTACAGGAAAGCGAGAGTCAAGGGACCCCAAGCAAAAAAGGCAAAGCCCCATGTCATGCCCAGCAGGAAGGTCAGGCTGACCACGCTACGGAGGTTCCTCAGGATCTCTTCCTTCAGGCTCCGATTAGTTCTTTTCCCATTCCTCCCACAGATTTGCACCATCACCACAATAAACATGGCAATATTCATTAGAAACATGATTCCAAAGTAGCCAGCACAAGTCACATAGAAGACAATTTCATTCTTGATCCAGCAGCTGTAAAAAAATACAAAAAATGATCATTTTTGGTTAATGCAAACTATCTTCCAATTATTCACATGACTACAAGGAAAATCAGCCTATTTCTGATTCCACTGATGCATAGCTACGCTTGAAAATGAAACCTTTGTCCATTTTCTGTTTGGAAATAGAATGAAGTCCAGAGGTGTCTTAAGTGACTATGGCTCAGAGTACTATCACCTTGGAAATCTAAGGATTGTACCACAATTTTGTCAAAACCGATTACAAAGGAAATCCAAACTCAGATAAAAGCTGTGGGAACTGCAATCATATCGTGTAAAGTTTAAACTCAGTACAAGCAGCTTCACGGCTGTCATCTGTGTGAAGCATAGTATGTTTTAGTAACAGAATGGGCAAACTGGGATCTTCAGTGTCGAAATTTCAACTTTCTGCCGCTGGAGCTAAAGGAGAACTTGTACATGACTGGAGAAGCAGTAGGACTTTTGAGGTAGTCATTTGACAGCCAGCCATATGAGATATCTAGCTTATACCTCTAGCAGCAAATGGCCTGAATGTTTAGGATGATACTATAATAGACATATAAAATGACATTTTTATTTATCATGGTGAAGTTTTGCCAGGCAAGGAACAGAGCACTCATATAAAAATTTTGGCATCTGGAGATTATTAGCTGGACATCAAGACAAGAAAGAAGACTATCGAACTACATTGGCAAAAGACTAGTTTACTTAAAAAGGAAACTATTTTTATACTACTTCTTTCTTTGCTCTTACCTAGAAAATACAGCTTTCATTTAAGATAAACTAAATTTTATTTTATTTATTTTATTTTCCTGACAAAACCTATAAATTTTTCTTCTGCCAGAGGAGTGTTTGTACCTGGCATTGGGTAATACAGATTTCCCTCCACTTTTTCTTACGGCCTTCTTCACATTTCAGAGTCAAATAACTTAGAAGACAATTTTGCCCATTTTGCTTGTTTAATGCATCTTTGACTTTTCCAAAGCAATCTGACTGATGCTAATTTTTTTCCAAACTATAAATGCTCAATTTTAAGAGATCAAAAGAAATACTCACAAGTCATCTCCTCCTTGCCCGTTAGCATCTTTGCCATATAATTCCTTGCCATAAACGTGACTTGCACTTGTATTAGCACTTGCTAAAACAATTGCTATCACCAGAGCTGGCAAACCTGTAACACAAGAAAACTTGGGAGCTTTCAAATCTCCTAAACCTTTACATTCACCATGCTAAGCTGAATTATTGATGTCTGCATCCCTATTGCTTTAGTATAGAGTATCCTGAAAAAACTGCACTGAGAAGGTAGAAGAAAACAATTTTTCAAACAGTACAAATATACAGAACTTCCAAAGCACTTAATGGGCATTAATGAATACACCTCGTAACCTTCTGTGAGGCAAAAACCATTATTTTAGTATGTGATATGGAAATGAAAATAACACAATCTCCCTTAATTACCCAAAATTAAATTTGCAACTTCACATAGGTTCTCTATGAGAAGATTAAAAAAATATTTTAAAAAATGAGTTTTAATGGAAGGATATTATTGGGACTTTTTTGAGGGATTTTTTTTCAGAGATGCTAATGGGAATTCATTAGGTTGGGTAACTGGGGAACATGAACTTAAATCTGTAATTTCTCCACTGCTTCTCTCAACCGTAAGCCCCTCCACCCTATAAAACAAAATATATATTTCTTAATAATAACGTAAAAGGAGTATTTTGGGAAAACAGACAACTACGCAGAAGAGAACTCTGTGCAGAAAGGTACAGTTCAAACAAAAGAAATGTACGTTTCCTGATATGCCTTATTTACATGTCTTACCCTTGCTATAACAGAACAGATTCAAAGGGGAAGAGGTTAATTTGCTTTTCCGACCACTCAGTCCTTGCTCTCTGCTGAGGTTGCCAAAGAGGATGCTAGTTGCCAATGGAAAGACATCAATTATCAGCTGTACTGAGGTCAGTGCTCTAGCCGTAAGGTTAATGGTTTTGTATTGTGTTATATTATTTCAAACACAATATGTGCATTCAGGGGGAAGGCACAGATTCCTGATATAGACAAAACTGAAGAATAAAAGCCTTGCTGCCTGGGCCTTGCAGTTATTTTTCAGTATTACATTTTCCATTTCAGACCTGCTTTGTACATTGCTTAGGGCAGCCAGGATCTCTCTGTGTTTTAAACACCATACTGAAGCTCAGAGAATTTGGGTTGTCTCTGATTCCACCAACTTCTACATGTATTTGTTGGCAAGAAAATTTAACCTGAACTTAAAAGCTTTTGAAAATCAATGCAAAGATGCCCATAGGCGTTGCAGTAACTGCAAGAGTTTCTGCATTCATTGTGTGCTATGGTTCTTCATCTCTGATAGGACACTCTTGTTTCCCCTCTCCCATTCTGGCCTCTCCGGAGAGCAAGACCAGTTTATCCGGTCTCTCCACTCATCCAAGGTCTGTGAGCTGCCCTGGGTGGAGGGTGCCAGTTACAGTGTATTTACACAGAATTATACAGGGGAACTTCGTGACAGAGAGGGCTGGCTGCATGCCAGCACTACTGCAGGCCGGGGAGGGGGGGGAAGGAAACACCATGTTGATATTAATTTTGCTCTGTACTTCTGACAGAGAGCTTTTATATAGCAGCATTTATAGAGAGCATTTTATATAGCAGCATACATGCCATGTAAATATTGCATCTTCGGAACTCACCCCAGCCAATGATGCAAAACTTCAGTATGTATCGCCGTATATACGTGTTGAACACCTTCACCAGAGCAATGTACATATGAACAGCTTCTAGTCCCATCCATGTAAAGGTGGCCAGAAGAAAAAAGTGCAAGAGTGCAGCTACAGCTATGCAGAGGCCATCGATATCAAATGATGCAATCCAGCCATCAAGCAAAAAAATCAGGTTAAGAAAGAGCAGGGCTGTGCTCAAATTCATCAGGATTTTGGATGGGTAATCTCTTCGCAACTTCCTAATGAGAGAAATAGAGGTGCATGTGATTAACTTGCTGTACTCACACAAGCCACTTTCAGCAGCTGGGTTTACTGGTTCACAAAGTAAATAGAAGTACAGGGATCTCCTCCGAGCTGTAAGTGTTTGTGCTGTAAGTGTTTTTGTACTGTAAGACGTAGTGATGTGTACTTCTGTGTCAGATTGCTGAAGGCTTCTGCTGTGTGTAGTGGGGGTAAGCTACCAGTTCTTTAGGTCCTTAATGAGCTAATTAACTGCCATAATATTTTAGCAACTGATTTTTTCTTTAAAAAAACCCTTTCAAATTAAATATAAAACAGTACTTCGTATTTTAGATAGAAATTGAAAAAAAAAGATACAGCTGACTAGAAGGTCATCTGTGATCATTTTATATGTAAGTCTTCACTTAATTTTTGGAATGTATTGTCCAGTGCATGTTGTTCTCTGTTTCTTTGTTTGGCTTTTTTGAATAGGATCTTAGGAAGACTGAAGATCAAGTAATTTTTTTTTGAACTGATACACATTGAAATGTAGGAAATTTGGGGCAGCCAAGAACTTCTGCCCTCTTGGACCAGAACGTTGTGCCATAGGTAATTTAATAGGAATGCCATCATTGAAGACATTTAAAATGCTTGAAAACCCCCACCTCTTCCCTCACCCCCAGCCAACTATCGTTCTTTAGTAGCTACTGTGTCTTATCCTGTTACAGGCAGAATGGTTTCTTTGTGCTGACATGACTTCATTTCTCTTTTCACTGTTCACAGAACTGTATCACTTCAAAACTTTTGCCTTCTCTTGAGTCACTTTCACATTTAAGTAGAACTGCTGTTGAAATTGTTGTACCACTTCACAATTTATCTTCATTTTATCTCTCTTCCCACCTCTTTCTGAAGGGCTCTTGAATGTAATTGTCCTAGCTGGAAATTTATTTTTTTATACCTGGGTCATGTTATGTTCACATAAGCAAGTTCTTGTTTATTTTTTTTATAAAAATCCCGTTTGAGAATTTTAAAATAATACATATCTGTTCAGAATCTAGAGCATTCTGTATTCCCAAAAGAGGAAAATTTTGACATACATTCACCTTATTCCCAGGCCTGAGCAACACAACACATTAGAAACTGGAGGAAAGACTCTGAATTTATGTCTCCTTGAAAAAACATTTCACTTTTACAATAGTGTGACCGTGATTTTACAGGTTTGTTTTTTTTTAAACATAGATTTCCCTTCCTGGACAAATAAACCACACTATCCATGTAACTAATTTATTTTATTCAGCACATACAGGTACTACCTTTGTGATGTTTTTCACTTACTCAAATGCAATGTATGTTAGAAGAGTTGCAGCTGAAAATATAGCAGATATTCCACAGCCTATGTAAGTGATAAAGGTCAGGACGTTGTTATTCTGTGAGTCTATTTGTGTCACAGTTCTCTGAAGGTCCTATGTGAGAGAAAAGGAAGAGATACCAGTTATAGCCAACACCTCTTCTATGAGCACCACACTCTTTGTTGGTAATTAGTCAAGTAAAACTCAAAAGCACTTTGGCAATACCACTATAACCTTGACACTGGGGTTCATTTTTACTGAGTGTACTTTGTCTATAGCTGTTACACCTCTCACTTCCTTCCCACAGCTCTCCAAAACATTGTGCTTTAAGTATTATAACTGCTTGGAACAGCAGATAGTCAGAGCCTAATTCTGATCCTTATAATTCAGTACCAGGAGTTCAAATGTCCTTCTCTGGAAAAGTCTCTAGTTTTTAAACTTTTTAGTTTTGTTACTTATATACAACTGTCTTTCAGAAGATGTAAGATTTAGGAAAATGTAATTTAAAAGTTTTCATACTGAAATGTTCAACATTATTGGGAACTTCTGACATTACTTTTTGTTATTAAAAGTTCATAAGAGTTAATGTAGCTAATCATCTACAGATGAAATCAAGGGCAAGATACTGCTTTTTGGTTTTATGGTCTGCTTTGACATAAAAGCTGAAATTATAATAGAACTGATGTGAAAAACAGTGACGAAGACAAAAAAAAAGATTTAGAAATGAAGCAGAAAATTCTGAGGATTTTTTTTCCAGTTTTCTGTCTAACTGTAACTGCTACATAGTACCATCTGAGAATAAATGCCAGTGTTATTTCCTTTATTTAAGGACAAGAAACTATAAGAATGTTTGGATCTATATCACTGTGGAGAAAATGCAAGCAAATGCTAACAGATAACGATGTTCATTCTACAGTCAGTGTCACTGCTGTCCCTAGCAAAACTATCTAGCAAAAAGAAACGAAATGCTACAAAACTTCACATGCTTTGTAGAAAAAGGCAGGAGCAGCTTTTTTACAGCCTGTCCCAACCTTATATGACAGTTTATATATACATAGGGAGAGTGTTATTTGAAAATAATTTAATAGCTGAATTAAAGTCAGAAGCGATTATTAAAATGGAAAAGCAATTAGAAGGGTCAAAACTGTGTAAAAATCTATTGGAATGCAGCCCGAATTCAAAGAACTTCTGCCTTATTTCCTACTGCCACTAAAGCATTCAGGGAAGAGAAGGGACTCATTGAATATATCCTAAAGAAAGCCTTTTCTTTCTCCCTTTGAGGATAGAAAGTGGAACAAGACCACAATTTAGCTTGCAAGAAGACACAAAGTTAGTGGCTTTTTCATATCTACAACTCAGCATGATGTGAAGAGAGCAGTCCTATTAAGAAGGGTCTTGAAGGCCAAAGCTGAAAAAGTCAGCATGTGTGGCTCTCTTGCGGGGTTAAACTCTTACGTGATACTGCCTCAAGTTACTTCAAAACCCAAATACTTCCACTTAGGAGCACTGCTGTGACCAAGAGCCAATATCTTTTCTGCCGCTATGTTTTAGAGGCCAAAGAATGATAATTTCAGCTGGAAAGAAGTGTTTCAGGCCATTACTGAGCATAAACAATCACCAAATGCTAAGAAAAGATAGCAGTATTCCGTTTTTTCTTGTTGGGATTTTTTTCCCTGAAAAACACTTCACAAGTGCAAATTGTTGGAGACAGCTGAAGGCTAGAGGCTATGCTACTGAGGCTAAAGTGCACTCTATGGTTCCCTCTTTCATCTCCCTGTTAGGCATTGCTCTACCTTTCTCAGCCAGCCATTCTGGAGACTTTGCTTAAGGCTCTGACAGAGAATGAGCTACAAGTTCTGTACCAGCCCACTGTTGACAGACTTTTTCCCAGAGCAGGTCTGTAATGTAAGGCATCCCCAAAGCTGATTAAAGCCAAGTAAGAAAAGAGCCAATATATGCTTACACATTTTGCAAAAGAAGGTACTGCTTTATACTTTTTGACATTTAGATAAATCTTGTCAGATTTGCAGCCTATATTTGCAAGGGACAAATTAGCCTCTCGATAGAAGGATGAAAGGGAATTATTGTGCTCCCTTGACTTTTCATCCTCATTAGGAGTTTTACTGACTGTAGGACATTTTTCTTTCCCTGTTTTTCCTGACAATATGTGTCTCTCTCCCTTTTGTTCTGAAAACAGCAATTCCTAATTTTTTTCATGATTTTTTTTTCTGTAAACAACTTCCCACTTTCCCAATCTGAAAATTTTAAATATACTTAGACTTGTTTCTCATTCACTTCCCTCTTGTCACACCCTCAGCTGCAGGTCAGTTTTGACAGATTATACTACTGAGGGATATGTCGGGGATCCCTGCACTTCAGGATCATTAAGATCAATTTTTTTCTGTTTCTCTGTGGAAGTGTTAGTACTGGTATTTTGGTATTGCTCAGAAGCCTCAACCCCAGGTCTTTTGTGCCACAGTATTTGCAAAAGAATGTAATAATTTGTAAAGAATGTAATAATTATAATAATAACAACAATAATATTCTTTCATTACTAACTTTATTACTTCATTCCTGAATCCTTATCACTAGTTACTTTATTATGAAAAGATAACTTTATGACAATAAGGGGGGAAATTATTTATTATTGTTATTAAAAATCATATGCAAAAGAAATAACCCAAGTAACAAAACTGAGACTTGTCTTGACACAAGAGAAAAACCGCACTGGTGTTCCTAGGAAAGGTAACTTGGTGAACAGCGAGTTTGCCTACCATTAGGACCCCAAAGTGTGTGAGGTGGTTGCATAAGCACACTGTTTTGTTTTCATTGGACTCTGCATCCACTTGGCAGCCCGCAGGGTTCCAGCCACCATTGCCACCTGTGGAAATGAAACATGAGAAACTGCTGTCTCTCTTTTAACATCAACCTCTCTTTTAAACGGATTTCTCACTTCACCTTGTGCAAATGCAGAAGCGCTCTCTCAAATTGAACGAGCAAGCATTAAAAACAACCAGGAGAGAAGCAAGTAACAGATTTCCTAGTTTCTGCAGAGAATTACAGCAGGTGAGTGTCTCAGTAATGGATTACTGAGCAGAAGCAATAGATGGAGATCTATAATAAAAGTAGGGAGCTTTTTGGTTAGTGAATAAGACCTATTATGTGGATCATGCATTAAGACACACCTTAGTTTTACCCAATAATAAGACAGTTTTAGAACTCCCTTTTACCCCACTGATGTGACGTGTGCACCTGCCTGCCTCCCACTCATATATCCTCATTTATGGCACAGGACCAGAGAGGGTCCTTCCCTTCCTCCCTGCAGCATGTAAAGCAGGAGGTCAGAGTGGATAATCCCAAAGATCCCTTGTGGCCTTATGAAAAAACTCGGAATAAACTATTCCCTACTCACCCCACCTGAAAAGGTCATTCTGAAAAATAAGTAGAAAGATTTTATTTTTAAAAATTAAATGTTAAAAAGTAAAATCTGTTTTCTTTGTTTTCCCCCTGCTAAAATATGAACTAATTTTGTGAAATAGTTCATATTCTCTGACTTCTAAAGACATTTTTTCATAATTCCTGACAAAATCCAGCATAATTTGCTCTGTAATTTCAAGACAATCAAATGCTCAAATTCAAGACAATTTCTCAAAAGACTGTGAAGATGTTCCAAAACCACTCAAAGCTCTTCCCCACTTAAGCAGCCACTGGGAATAGTTTCTTCCCTGTGTGTTTCTCCTTTATTGTGCTTCCTAAGTTTAGCTTCATAGGTAGGTTCTATGATTTTGTGCTCTTTTTTTATCCTCCTGCATTCTCCTCAGTTGTTCTGTATTTCCTGCTTTGAAGTGCAAACTTGAATAGCAAATTTTATTTCTTGCAAGACTCTCTGTATTAAACCTCTCCATCCAAACTCCTACTGCTCTATCTGTTTGATTGTAAAGAAGAGTAACATGTCTGTAGTGATCTCTAAAATAGAAGGATATGGAAAGCCATCCCAGAGAACAAACGAGCAGTTAAAAGTATGGCTAAGAACCACTGTTGTGTTTGAGTAGCATTATAATTTAATTTGCGCATACAGACAGATCAGTGAAAAACTGCAATCAGCTATGGAAAAGTAGAGAAACTTGATTGAAAAATTTAAAATGTTAGAAACATTTACATTAAAAACAAACTTTGAAAAGGAGTATATAACATCTACTGTTACAAGTAACTATACTAACCAGAAAAAATTGTACGCTTCATTGAATGGACTTAATTGAATTCTGTAAGGATTAATTAGGAGGAAAAATGGCAAATACTGTATCTGATTTTAAAACTCAAAACAACTTTATTCCCCACATGAAAGAAATTACAGTATTTTTAAACTTACTGTTTTTGTCCATATCCCAGAAGACGCAGGTAGGTTTAGGATCTTCCTAAAAACAGATGCAAAAGGAGACTTTGTGTACCTCTTCAGGCATAAATCTCATCAACATTTACAACAGTTGTTGTAATGCATATTTCATTTACTGAGCAGAATAATCCATATCATTTAGACTGTTGAAAATTTGTCTAGTGTCAAATTAGAATTTCCTCTGGCAGTACTGCTTGTTTGGGGATCTTCCAGCAGCAATGAGCTGCAGTTTCCATATGATTCTAGAAAAAATTTCTAGAAAAACAGATTTGTCCAGATTTTCAAATCTAGAGCACTGCTTCTCTGCACTGTTCCACTGCTCCACTGCTCCTTTTCCACATCCTCAGAACAATGAAGTTTTATTGTCTCAGTGAAGTTATCTTTGAGTATGTCTTTACAGAATCTAAACACTTTGTACTGTTCACTTTCTTAGGGCTTCTCCGTGAATCCTTTATGTACGTCCTTGACAATATGCAAATGCCTGCTGAACCCAAGTGGAGGTTCTTTTGCCTCACCTTAAAATATTCATTGTAATGAAACACAAGATAAAGTTAACGGAACCGTGAAAATTACAAATCAGGTTCTTACAATTTACTTTGGTACTACATTTTAACATTTTCTTTTTTAACATCTCTAGTGCTATTGCCTCTTTTGGATTAGATACTGACTGTGTCTGAGAACAGAGTCAAGCTCACCCATTTTTTAACTGAAACAGTATGTGCCAAAAGATTGCATTTGGTCTCTATTTCCCTAAATTTGCTGTGGTCATCTTTTAACATGTTCTGTTCATTCCTCCTTTGCTGAAAACCACATAACAACAAAATAATTAAGGGAAGTATTAAATTTGATCAAAGAATTTAAGTAATTCTAAAGTTCCAGTGTAATAAATCATGTCCCTGGTCAAAACCATGGTCATGAACACAGGTTTTACTTAGTTATTGGCACAGAAATTGCTTCTGAGGGACAGAATGAACAGTTTTTCAGGTAATTCTTAGACCATGAATGGAGTGCGAATGCATGAGGATGGGAGAGGTTACTTGTTTTAACTTTTTGCTTACGTGCTTTTGTTCTAGAGTTTTTGATTTCCATTTATGTTCTTACTCAAAATCCATCCCAATAAATCAGGTTTAATGCTTAGCCTTTACCACATGCACTCTGCATTCCTGTTCCTCTGAATAATCAGTCTTGTTTTACCTGAATTTTGGTATGCTTGATTGTAACCTTCACATAATCCTGAAGATCCTGAATGGTTAAATTTCCAATACTGCATGCCACCACAAAACTGGTCAAATTGTCAGGATTTTCTGCATCCTTTGAAAGATTAAGAAAAACATAATAAATGCTTACACAGCACATAACATAAAAGCCAGAGTACATAGTTTCATTTTTGCAGCATGCCAGAATAAGTAAGTTGTCAGCATTTCTGTACTTTTGATTACGCAATATAAGAACATTATGTTTATAAAATCAAATTATGGGTTAGCTTCACTGAAGTTTCCCTATTTTCCTTATAGTCATAAACATACATGGGCACAATTATAGAGAGAGGTTAGAAGACAAACAAAATTATAACTCAAACAATGTAGCAGATAACAACTCATGATATGATTAGCTCATTTCCCTAAACAAGAATGAACTAGCTCCCTTATTGTTGACACTATCCTTTTGAGTAGATGAAAAGTTTTCAGAGAATAACCTGTTTTTTGTGTATGGTTGCTAAATCATCCTCCATCTTAAAATGAATGACTAAGAAGAAGTAAACAAATTCAAAGTAATGTTATGTACTGAAGGAGGTAGTATTTTCTGCAAGCTCTTATTTGATGGGAATTTAAACAGAATTCTGATATTATCACTGAGCAATCCTATTTTTAACCTGCAGCTAAGAATCTTCCAACTGAGAAGTTTTCCTTGGAAACCAATTATTTATTAAAATGGAAATACTAATTTCTTTTGATGAGCTTCCATTGAGACCTGCATAGTTACATGCCTGGTTGGGAAGCTTGGTCACTGCCTGTGGCAGATCTCAGGTCAAATGAAGTCTATTGTCACTCACTTTCCCTCCCAAAATCTGGTCTGTCAAATTCCTGAACCCTTCATTTCTTCTGTCTAGGGGTTTTATTAACCTAACAAGATGTCAGGTATCAGCTCAGCACTGGGCTCATGAGATCCCACCACTTCTGTCTTCTGAAAGACAGAACAGCTTCAGTTTTTAAGTACACATTATCCTGAGAAGACTATTTCATTCCTTAAAAACATTCATATCCAAGAATTTTCAGATGCAGTATTTCAGATTATACTGGAGCTTTGTAATAAAATTTCCTAAAACTTTAAAAGTCGAAGAGGAAAGAAAATTCAAATATCTAGATAGTTCTTGAGCACTCAAACAAGACAAAATCTCTTGGCTACCACCTAAATTTTAACATCTGACCAAGTCTGTGGAAGTCCTTGGACATATTTCTACAGGTTTCAGTCGATTGTGTCTCTAGCAGATATGAAAAACTAGAAATAAATATCAGTTGGTCTCTCTAGGGAAGGCAATTTAATAAATTCTTACTCATCCTTAGAAATGAATAGAAATAATGTGTGTAGTAAAGTAAAATACAGGTAACTTATTATTTAGCTGTAAGGCCGTGTTCAGCTAAATTAAGGGAAAACACCATTCTAGTGTTTCTTAACATAGTGAATGAAAGGAAACTGGCACATCCAGGGCATAATTCATTGTATCTATTCTATACATCTAGGTCAAAATACGACTTGCCTAAAAATAAGTGTCCATTTTAGAGGCTTTAGGGTATTCTGCCCAGTCTCCAGCTGCTACTGCAGAAGATGTCACATCTCTTACTCTCACAGGTTCACTATCACATCCATCAGTACTTTTGCACCTTGGAGTATCTCAAATTGCAATTGCTCCTTTGTCTGGAGAACTGATGCTGAGTTCTGCATTGGGATGAGTTATGTTACACCTCAACGGTGTCTATTCTTTTCCATCGACTAGCTTTGAAGGCAACTTATGAACAACAGTTCAGGCATTGATGTGTACATAGAACACACCTGCCTTTGGTGAAATGAATCCCACTCTGAATAGCTTTTATATAGTCTTCTAATTAATATAACCATCAGATTTTAATGAATGACAAGATAAAAGTTTCTGAATTCTCCCAGTTGCAATAAAAAAACCCCCTCCAGTACTGTAAAGTAAAATGTTTCACTGTTACATTGACTACTTACAAGGAATACAGCTAAGAGCATTCGGGCTTTTTAATTGCAATTGAAATAAATGTATCTATGAAATACTTTTATTCTAATGAATAAAGTTACTGGGTTTGAGATGGCATGTGGATTAATTTATTTGTAGGCCTTATTTTAATGCCCTTTTTTTTAACTTCCTTTATTTTTAGACCTACTAAACCACAATTTTAATTGTGTTAATCATACCACCCATGAATAGTTTGAAAAACACACAAAAAATAAAAGGCATTTTAGTTGCAAACTCAGATGCAATTTTTCCTGGTTTTTTGCTTTTCAATGGCTTATTAAGTATCACTTAGAAACACATTCTTAAACTACTAAAGGACACATTCTAATTTTGTATGACAAGAGTCCATCTGTATTCTTCTGGGTTTTTTTTATTAAAGATATCCATCCTGTTTTTCTCAAAAGCAGGCCTAAAATTAATCCATTTTAAAAAGTTAAAATACTTTGGGGTGTATTTCAGAAGGCAACTGTGGGTCATGGGTATTTTCTTGCCCTAGATTATCTGATGAATCTGGATACACTGCCAATAAAAACGATAATATAGAGACAATACAATACTACGGAGTTCTGCGGATGCACAAGAGTCAAAGGTCACTTAAAATACTGATGGGAAAACAAACTCAAGTCTTCTGAGACACATTCTACAGTTCACCATGAAACAATATTTCCTTCTTAATTATCTTTTTTGTTTTTTCAAAATAGATATGGTTTTGGTTTTCTGTTTTTCAGGTTGCAAGTTCTTCATACTTTTTTTGGCATCTACCATGCAGGCACTTTTTACAATTACCATTTGATGGGACCCCAAAAAGACGAAAACCAAATCTACCTCAGTACCTTTATTTTTCAGGTGTAAGAATTGTTATCCTTATTCCCTATTAAAATATGGAGAGCTTATGAGAACACAGGTATGAAAAGAATAGTATATATCAAAACAAAAGTTCTCTGGCTACTGACCATCAGCTCAGAGTTTCCAACTGAATATAAAGTAGCCAGCTGGATATGATTACTAACCAACTCTTATAAGGAAAAGAGAGTACTTGCAGTGTTACAGGCCAAATTCCCTTCTGATAGGAAAGAACCTGGCTCCCCTGAACATCAAGGACTTATATTAATACATTTAAACACAACTTATGCCCTTTAAAAGGACATGCTACTTTCCTCTGATCATAAGCAGCTGGGATACAGTTTTCCACAGATTACCGAGAAAAGGTTTATCTTACATTTCACAGGAATCTGCACTCAAATCACAGACTTTAACCCATCCTGGGAACTTCAACTGTATTGTCACTCTGAACATAAGACTGTCTTCAGTGCCTACATTTGGTATCATCTTTTAATTCCTGTAACTCACAAAACGCTGTGAAATGATTCCTACACTATAGGAAATTTTTAACAGCTGGCTTTGACTCACCCTATCTGAAATTACTTCAAACACATTAATGTTTACCTGAAAAAGACCATTTTTATTGAAGAAAGTAAACTGAGCCCTGGATATAACTTCAAATTCATCTTGACTTAAATTCTTCAGTAAACTTGGTGGCAGAACAACAGAGGCAAAGGCACTTGTCTGATCCTTGTCAAAATCTATCTGTTAAATAAAACAAGAGAAGAACATGTTCAAACAAAAATCAAACCATCTGTTGTCCACAACTGGGTTCACACCTTTACACAAAGATATCTAAACATGGGTATAGAATCAATCAACACTTATATGACCTGTGTCTATGTAAGAGTTGATGCAATAAACAGGTTTTTTTTAAGGCTTGGTAGGTTTGCCACCTTTCCAGCATGAGATCAGCCTTCTGCTATAAAAATGTATTAGATAAAACCAGCAAAGAAACAAACTCCTCCATGGCTATAATGATGATTTGGAAATAATGGATGGCAATAACGGCAGTCATAATCATTTTCAGTAACCTTCAAGATACTTTTTCTCATAGAAAACAATGCTGAGATCTAAAAAATATGCTCTGAATCCTTCTTTCTTAAGTTGTATTAGTTGGATTGATCCACATATCTGAAATAATTTTCTTACGAGCTTTTATAGTTTCTCTACTACAAAAAGGAGATCTTAAAATAATTATTAGTGCCACCCATCTATATTTATTGTGCTATATAGCACAAAAAAAAGACACTTTCTGCCATCAATATAAATGTAATATATACTGGCAACGTGTCAGACATCTAAAAGCCCACTATGGCCCAGGGATGTTACAAGTGAGTACGAAATAAATGAGGATGCAACCTTGCATTTTATTAGCAATTCTACGACTGCACACTTTCCCACCATGACATACTCAAGGTGTGCCACCGTAGCCATCAAAGGAAGGGGAACAAGCCATCTCACAATGGCTCTATAGTAAAAGCATTTAAGAATTTTACTGTGAGATATGGAAACTCACACTTCTGACTTCCCCAGAGGCATCCTGGTCATGTATTTATGCCTCTCACTATCAGATATTTGATTCTAAAAGCACCATTAGCTAATAGAAAGTTAAAAGTCATAGGTTACTGACAGATTATTCACTGGTTTACTGTGAATAACAGACACCGTGGTAAATCAGTCAGAAGTGGTTCATAGATATCTCCTGACAGGGATAGATGTAGTTGAAAAACAGGTTTTCAGAGGGTAATTCTGCTACAGTAAACAGAAAATGTGTGTGATAAAGATGTCCCGGGCACTGTCTGCAAATAGAGTGGAAGAGACTTCTATAAAGAAGCATGGATATATTACAGGAACAATTTAATAATACGAATCACCAAAACCTAACTTAGTCAAAGGTTTGGCAAGAAACATAAAGACATAGGGGACTGAAATAGAATCTTTCCAATTTGCCATGGATAAATTTGCTTGATATCTACTTTAAAAAAAAAAAAAAAAGAAATAAAATCTGGAAACATTCTGACATACAGCTTGTTATTGTTCCCTGATGAGCCTAGGATAGGACATCACATTGCTGGTGAAAAACATGGGCTTTCACAAGGGAATCTCCCTCCAGGAGGGATAGCAAGTATCTTTCCTGACAGGTATGGAAAATAATCCCGAAGATTTTTCTAGCAGGAAGGATGCTAAGAATTCTCAATCAGCTGTTTGAAATGTGAAAGCCTCAGAAGAAACTCATGTTCCAATAGGAACATTATAAATACTTCGACAGAGTTTGGATTTTATGATTATTTCGGCAGTGCTGTAATAAATGATTCCAGGACGAGAAGATTCCTGGATGTCCTCAAGCCACAGATGGTAATTCTTGTTATACAAGCAAACATCCAAAACCTGGGTTTAGAATTTTTCCTTTCCTCTTTCCATAAATGAAGGATGAAATCTGGAGGAGAAACATTCTTTTGAAAACAAAGCTGAAAACAGCTACTGAGGAGCTTCATTAATATGAGAGCTAAACAAAAGTAGATTTACCATTATCAAAAATTTCTGATAAAATTGATTCAAAGAAATTTTAGCCAAATGTCTATGAATAGAAATATGTGAAAACTCAATTACATGAAATGTATTCATATCTATTTAAACAGCACCTGAGTTTTGATCCTAAGTCTAGATACATGTAAAAGGCCTGAAGCCTACTATGTTACTACTACTTTTTGTAAATTATTCTTAGTCTCTTAGACCTTTAAAGATTAGCCTTTAACTGCATAATGACAAGTATTGTTGAATTCAGTTTTGGTTCCTCTGGCCCAAATGACAGTAGATTTTTTTCTTTTTCTGTGTAATATTTTCTGTGTGTTTCTCCAAGTAATGCTCACTGTACTTGAATGGTTAAACACCCAGGAAACTGAGATTACATTGTCACAGACTTCCTATTTAACTGCAAAAAAACCCCGAAAACATTGTATTGCACTTTTGAAAGCATTCAGGTGCCATAGGATGCAGTTAGGCATCTAGTGAAATTTAAAGTCTCAGCATCTCATCACTACAGATTTCCAAAGAACCTTTGGAAAATCCTATAGGTGTTCATGTGCATCTCAAATTCTATTTCAAGCTTTCAGATGTCTGATTTTTTCTATTTGTGGGGGGAAGGAGAAAAAAATATTTTTGAGGTGACAATAAATAACTTTAATATACTAGCCTGTCTAGACAGTGTAGCACGGGAGACCTTCCTGCATTTTGAGTGATCTCTGTTTCTTTTTTTTTTTTATGTCTAGGCTGGCCAAGCTCCACATGAATGACCTGAACCACATCAGACATTCCTAAATGGTACAAGCCTATCAACCTATGTGTGGACAACAGGATCAGTCGTAGGTCTCTTTCAGCAGTAAGTGTTAAAACTATACTGGAAGATTGAAGACCTATTGTATCTGAAGAAATCTGTATGTGGATACCTACATCTAGGAGTCTTATTCTAAAGCTGAAAGGCATCAATGGAATTGTTAGGTAGTGTACAATGGATAATACAACAGACTGCTGAAGATTATTTTCCTTTTTCACTAGTAAAAAAACTCACAAAACTGAAAAAGGGTCAAGTTGTTCTGGATTTATAAGCAAATCACTTTTTATCTGCATGGAATGTGAGTTTATCTGTGTTTCCTGTCATTCAAGGAAATACTACATTAATCTGTTTGGACGATTGCAGGAAAAAGGAAATAGAAAGTAAGGGGAGAATTGGGAGTTGTAACTGTTTTTACAGGAACCACAGTAAACACACTTGGAACAACACACACATTTCATGTTCAAATACAACTGCTTGTTCTGTACCTGGAAATCAGATGCATTATTCTGTGAACTGACACTGAAAGAACCACCTTTGAATGAAGTTGAGTTTATAGAAGACACTCCGAGTGCGAGATTTCGTGTTGAAATACTCATGGATGGTCCAGTGAAATGGATCTTTAAAGCCAAGGCATCAATAGTTTTTAGAGCCCTAAAAACAGAAGTTAAATTATTCTAAAACAAAAGCTTTTGACTGACAGAAACTATCACTGCTCCTGAAATAATTTTTCAACAATACTTATATCTATGCTGTGTCATGTGTCAGAAGACTTCTTTTTTTCCATTGAAATACTTCGTCTTAGTCATGCACATTAATTTTAGTACAAGAAGAAATATTTGTGTATCTAATTTGGAAAATTCTTTTTGATGAAAATCAGAAAAGTTTGATTTTTGTGCTGCAATCATTTGCCTATTTATGGAAGGATGAATCCTTACAGCCTTGCAGGTTGCTCTCAAAAGCTTGTCTCAAATGAAGAAATACTTACTCTGAAGATGAGGCTGCCAATACACTATCTGAACTGGTTAGAATATTGGAAAAAATGGTCACCACAGTAGAACCCAGAGATTCATCAATTTCTTCATCATTAACAATTTTTTTGAGCTTCTGCACAACGTCATTTACTTTGTCTGAGGTTAGCTGCTGCCCTTCACCAGTGAGATTCAGAAGCTGATTGGCTATATCAGCTGCATTTTCTGTAAGCATACAGTCAAGTAAAAAAGAGAAAATAATGCATTATAGTCCTGAAGTAATACAGAAATACAAGTTTTTATTCACATTGTTGAAATCTAGAGAATATTCCAGGGTGCTGGGAATGATCACAGGATTTTATAATTTTGTCAAATTTATAATTTTATGAAAAAAGTATATAGAACCTGCTGATTACATACGGTCCTCATTGGCTGTGCTTTTCTTTTCTTTATTTGGATTTGAGTTTGTAAATCAGAACTATTATTGAAAGAGCTGACTGAAACAAAAAGTAAGGAATAAAAAGTCTATTTTTTCTCTTTTTTTTCCTCCTTATGTTATCCTTTTTTTTTCCCCACTGGGAAAAAGAGGTTCACTCTTTCACTATTACTGAAAGAGTATTCACTCTTTTAAGCTTTGTGAAGAAAGACTGACCCCATTGCAAATGTTTCAGTTCTTTCAGAGGATGGTTCTCTTACTCATCAGAGGGCTGGCAAGTATGACACACAAGCAAATTTCATGAGAAGAATCTTCCTGGTAAGGAAAGTTTTATAGTGTGTCCAATGGCAAAACACTAGTGTAAATCACATGTTAAACTGTAACCTCATTGCCACCTGGACAAAAACTAATGTGAATGCTAACCTTTTACAATATCAAAATATTTGAGATTTATTGGAATTCTCAAATAAGATTTTGAAATATCAGCCTTCTTCCGTCTGCAACAGGCTGTGGGTTTTTAATGCTGGTTTTTTATAATACAGCTTTTGGTACGTTTACTTTAGAATGTTTACTTTACATGACATGATATTTTCCTATAGTCTGACTGCAAGTACTCAATCAACTACATTATGAAGCCGGGCTCCCTAGGACACCTCTATCAATGAAGAAAGAAAAAGAGGCTTCTTCAAGAAAGCAATTCAGAACAGGACCTTACTTGTAGGTGCTCTGAAATACACACAAGAGTATAATTCTCTTCACTAGCTCTGACAATAAAAAAAAAGGCCATAAAATTGTTGTCTTGTTATTTTATTACTCCTTTATAGCCAGAGTGACATCAAGGGGTATTTTACAAACTGAGAATAAATCTGAATACGTCTGATTGTAAGTCCAGTGAAGAGAGTGGGCGTCTTTCCCCTGGCAGCTACAGGCATTGGAAACATTTAAAAATTTGTCCTAACTTGAATATCAAATAGAGGCAAGATACCACCTTCATCTACTCTTGCTTGAATTGCCTGAAGAGTTTGATTTATTTCAGTAATTCGTATTCAGAGGTTATAATGGGTGAGCTGAATTGAACCCGGTGCCCTTCCTCAGAGTTTAATTATTTACTCTGATTATTTAGAAAGATTTTCAAACAACTTAGCATAAAGAAGAAAGATATTCTTCCTTAATGTAACTTCCTTATAGGAAGCAGTAATCAAAGTCTACCACACTATTCCTTTAGCCGAAGACCAACATCAATATACCCACCTGTGCAATTTCTAAGATCAGGTTGACCCCAGTATGATGTATAATTCTGCAGACCCAAATAGCTAAAGAGGAAAATGACAAAATTCACATGAAATATAGTAACAAAATTACATACATATTTCATAATTCTTATGCAGGTGTCACAGTGGTCCACTCTTCTCAATTCACAACATTGCTAGCAACATGGCCCCTAGTGAAATGCAATATGAATACTTGAGAGTGGTATCGAATCAAATGTGATCGATTAAGTGACAGCGCAAACAGAAACCCTAGTTCTTTAGAATAAATTACCAGCTGATTCCTATACTGATTTGACAAACTGCTTCAATGGAAACTCTAGCCTTTTATTTCAGGAAATACCCAAATGCTAACACAAACTATTATGCCTCTATTATGGCCACTCAGGTGCTGTTCCTATAATTTATCCTTGATGTAAATGGCTTTGATTAAGTCAATTGCAAGTCATAATACCTCTCAGAAGAACATGCAGAGGAGCTATGTGAAGATATAAATTATGCCATCCAGGAAAACTAGGGCAAGTCACTTTCAGATGTAGATCCAAAGTAAGGGGCAGATAAAAAGATTCCCTTTTTTTTTTTTTTTTAAAGCCTTACCATAGCAAAATACGGAATCACAGAATGGGTCAGGTTGAAAGGGACCACAGCGGATCATATGGTCCAACCTCCCTGCTCAAGCAGGGTCATCCTGGAGCACACGGCACAAAATTGCATCCAGATGGTTCTTGAATATCTCCAGTGAGGAAGACTCCACAACCTCTCTGGGCAATCTGTTCCAGTGCTTGGTCACCCTCACAGTAAGGACGTTCTCCCTCATACTGTGGTGGAATTTTCCGTGCATCAGTTTCTGTTTGTTCCCTCTTGCCCTATTGCTTGGCACCACCAAGAAGAGCCTGGCTCAATCCTCTTGACATCCTCCCTTCAGATACTTAAGAGACACTGATGAGATCCCCTTTCAGTCACCTCTTCTCGAGGCTGAAAAGGCCCAGCTCCCTCAGCCTTTCCTAGTAACAGAGATGTATGAGTCCCTTAATCATCTTTGTCACCCTGTAACAATGGGTCCAAAATTAAACACACTTTTTCCTCAATTTTCTTTAAAGACAATCATGTTGTCACAGCATGGCAAAGGCAGGATGCTGAAAGGGAAAAACTTATCCTTTCACTAAGTGCATGATAAAATAACATTATTCCTCAGCTGATCACATTTATTATAACAGCATACTAGCAGGTAACCTTCTACTGTGGGATGCACAGGACTAAAAGAAACTGTTAGAAGAGCTTCCTCTTCTTTTGAAACACATCCCACCAACGCTCCATACTGGTAAAAGCTAGTGGAGTCAGAGGGAAGGAAAGCACAGCACAGGGCAGAACACAGTAATTTTTTTTAGGAGAAGTGCTGTACACAGACAATCAATGGTATTGTGTAGACCACAAATAAACAATAAAGATAAGCAATACTGGGACAGCAAAGGCCAGAAACCTTAATTTTTAATGATTCGGAAGTTCTGACATAAAACCAGTTTGACTTCTGTACTACTCGCTCTACAACAAAAGTTGGTCAATCAGGATCAGTTCTTGTACAAGATTAGGAGGCTGAGGAAGTGAGTTATTTAAATATAATGCAGGTTGCTTTCCTGTTTGGCACAGAACCTCAAAGCTGATTCATATCCATGTTGCCATACTGTTTTCAAGAAGTAAGAGATGTGGTCTTCTCAAAACATGTTCCAGATGCAATGTGGGCAGATAAGACTAATATATTGCTTTTAATGGTAATCATCCTAAATACTGAGCAAATTAATTAATATTGCATCATCATAACCACATTTAAGGCACTCGAAAAGATCAAAGCCATAGTGTTTTGGTAATACATCAACGGAGGTAATAATATTCCCATTTTACAAATGGGAAATAGAGATACAGAGTCAAAGTCTTTTGTAGATGTTTGCAAAGAAAGCCTACATTAGGGAAAATATGTCCTAAACCTTAAAAACACAAGTTCAAATCTTCAAGCATAAGATTATTCCCACCTTCAGTTATGATTAACTACTGGCAAAATGTTTGTTTCACAATTTCTTTTACTTTCCCCTGATGAGATGAGATGTTCTGGACTAACCAAATACACATCTCAAATTCATAGAATTTTATTCTGTTTCTTACACATGGGAGATAGTAGTAGTGGAGTGGTAGCATATGTGAAACTTTGGTTTCAGTAACATAAACATCATGGCCAAGTACAAGGTCCTGAACGTGGGCAGGGCAATCTCAAGCACAAATACAGGCTGGGAGGAGAATAGATTGAGAGCAACCTCGAGGAGAAGGATTTGGGGATGTTGGTTGAAGAAAAGCTTAATGCGACCAGTCAATACAAGCTTGCAGCCTAGAAATCCAACTGTATACTGGGATGCATCAAAAGCAGTGTGGTCAGCAGGTCAAGGGAGGTGATTCTGCCCCTTTGCTCTCATGAGACCTCGACTGGAGTGCTGCATCCAGCTCCGGGGCCCCCAACATAAGAAGAATGTAGATCTCTTGGAGCAAGTCCAGAGAAGAGCCACAGAGATGATCAAAGGGCTGCAACACCTCTCCTATAAAGACAGGCTGAGAGATTTGGAGTTGTTCTACCTGGAGAAGTGAAGGCTCTGAGGACACTTTATAGAAGCCTCCAGTACCTACAGGGGGCTACAAGAGATCTGCACAGGAACTTTTTACAAGGGCATGTAGTGATAGAACAGTGGTGAATGGTTTCAAACTGAGAGAGATTAGATTTCAGATATTAGGAAGAAATGTTTTACTTTCAGGGTGGTGAGATGCTAGAACAGGTTACCTGGAGAGGCTGTGGGTGCCCCATACCTGGCAGTATTCAAGATCAGGCTGGAAAAGGCTCTGAATAACTTGGACTATTGAAAGGTGTCCCTGCCCAGGGCAGGGGGATTGGAATCAAATGACCTTAGAAGGTCCCTTCCAACCCAAACCATCCTATGATTCTGTGACTTGAATAAAGCAGTTTCATTCTGTAAGAAGATGCTATTTTTATAATCACTTTGAACATGTATTAATTTTGGGCCTCAATATGCCCTACAGAAGTGGTAGATGAGCCTTTTTTTCCTATCAATCAAGTACATACTCTTACTGCATGCACAAAATCTCTCACAGTATAGAAATCGTCTTCCTGAAACACAATACCAGCCAATGGCAACCATTATAGAGAATTTAGATTAACAATATAACCAGAAAGTTGCATCTGAAGCAACTCAGCTTCTCAGACATTTGAATACCTACCAGGTTCTTGATGCAGTCTGAACTGAGCTCCCATGGCAAAACGTGAAGTTGGTCACAGTAGGTCTGGTATCTGGCCAAAAATAGTTTGGAGGGTTTTCTTCAGCTAAACATTTTTCTGTAAAAAAGAGTGTTAATATCATTGTTAACAGTAAATTTCACCACCTAACCATCTTGCATTTCTTGTCAGCATATCAATCAGTCTACAGTACAAAACTGTCTTCAAATTAAACTCTTGGTTGTTTGCTATAGAGTGTCAATAGATACTGCTGCTGCTCAAGGGAAAGGGCTGAACATGCATGCTGCATCCATTTGCATTCCAACAGCCTCCACCTCCTCCCTCCCGAAAGAAAAGTAATCTTTGACTGGCAGTAGTTGAATGGGAAAAGACAACAGCTAAAAAGAGACAGATTAAGGGCAGCAGTTGGCAGGAGCACAAACAGCATTGACAAGTGAGGACGAGAGGCCTCGGAGGTCCAAAATAGAGGTCATTTTAGCTCTGGCTGTAAAACATACTTCTTTATCCTCAAACTACCAGAGGAGCTGTCAGGAACTGTCCCAGCCTCTGAACCAGACAGCAAAACACTGACTAAAGCAACCTGGACAACTGTGTTTGTGTTAAAATGATATCTTGACCATGGCTTTTTGAGATTAGTGGAACAATGAACCTTATAGGGACAATTGAAAATCTCAAACATTCATATCATTTGGAAATGTGTGATCATTTTAACACAGAAGATGCTTATTTATAGACAAGCAAACAAAATTTGTTGTGTAGCAAAGCCAAACACTACTTACCCACTGGATCAACATCCACAGTATGAAGTTTATATCCTTCTTCTATGGTTCGATTATTACTTATGAGCTTCTGTCGGATGTCTTCCTCTTCTAAATTGATGTTGTTGGTAGAATTATAAACCAGAAGAGCCAAAACACCAAAACTGCAAAGAAAATTATCCAAGTGTTTCAGTCAGAACAGCAGAGGCCAAATGTGTGGAAATAAAAATATCTGTCAACCTCTGATTTTCTGAGTATAGAACGGTGTCACCAACACAATGCTGCACATTATCTGTAAATTATTTTTATATATAAGGCCACAACAAGAAAATATGGTTGGGAAATTTCATCTTCTAGTTACCATTAAAGAAGTGTCTCATTAAAAGAGCTAAGAAATGTTTTCAGAAGAGTAAGAATATTTTAAAAGATATTAAAAGATGAAACCATAGACTTGTGAGTTCTAAATGGATCCTAATTAATTTTAAAAATCTGGTTGCTGATGGCTTAGAAATTTAAGAACTGATTCATGCCACCCCCAGAGGATCTACCTCTACATTGACTACAGAGGAAGACTAGAAGATTAACAAAGAACAGATGCCTAACACTTAAATCTCTGGATTCTAATGGAATGAAAAACACCATGACACACTTCTGAAGCTTTTAGATGTAATTACGAAAGTCAAGTTGCTCAGATGAGTAATTCAAGTCTGAGCACTAATAGCTGTTTTGTACTGTGGCCCACTGCTACTTTCTTGGGCATAAGAAGTAGTTCAAAGTGCCCAAGCCTCTTTCCTGTGAGAGAAATAAAACAGTCCCCACCCTTGTCCAAAAACATAGCTTTTCTGGAAGGGAAACCATGAACAGCCAAGCAGTTCTAGCAGGACAAAGGAAATAAGCTCACAGTGGAAAGCCCAGAAATTTCCTCCTGGGACACAAAGAAACACACGTTGGAGACAAGAATATGTTGGTACCCAAGAGCATTGGTTGGCTCTGGCTAGTAGGACATGACGCCACTAAAGTATGGAACACTGGATCTCCATGCAAGCCAAAATGTGGAAAAAAGGAAAAAGCAAACCTGCTTTAGGCTGTCTTCATCTTAGCCTTGCCCTTGGATACCCATCAGCCTGAATAAAGACAGACCTTTGCAGTGTGAGCCATTCCTGGCAGGCTGGGAAGCAGCAGCACTGCCAGCACACATACTGTGAGCACGGCACAAACTAATCAGAGCTGCCTTCACCTGCAGCCCCCTGTACAAGAAAGCAACTGTCAGCTAAAGGGTCTTGTGGTCTACAGAAAGAAGCACAAAAAAACTACAGGGGTGCTGAAGAGGGCTAGTAGGGTTTTCAGGTACTGCTTTCTACGACAGACAAGGACTTCAACTCAAAAAAAATCTTCCAGAAAGACATCCCCATGATGACAGCTCAGAATTGTACTTTCCAGAGGTGCCTAATCTGGTACAGTATAAAACTACAGCTTAGTGTACAGATATTGGTCTAAGATGGCAGATTTAACCCTCTTTCTGTCAGGCATCATTCTGAAAACTGAGTAACTCCAGCCAATAATTCTGAAGTACTCTCTCATAAGTGAAATGGCATTAAAACAATTGGCATTAGAAAACAACCTCTCAGTCTAGGAAAAAAAAAAAAAAACAACAAAAAGGAAAAGCGAAGTCCAAACCTCATACAGAAATCACAAATGTGAACTAAATACTCCACACATTTAACTTTTGCAGATGTAAATAAATAAGTAAATAAATATACACAGTCACTGGTTGTTTATTTTCTTTTATTGTTGTTGAACACCAGCACACTTTTCTTTTTTCTTGCCATATTTACTGTTTTACTGGTAACATGTTACTGGAGACGAAAGATAAAAATGTCACCACCTGCTGGCTTGGCTTGCCTTTTTCCCAGTGGATGTATTTTAGCAGAGAAATGACAACTATCCCTGGCCAGGTTGCTCCTGCCCTGCTCCCAGATATACCAAGTTCCTTCTAACATTCCATTCGTCTCTGTGGAGTGTTTAACATAAACAGCAAATAGCCTCAGTAGGGTAGATGAGCATTAGTAGGCTTTTGCTGTATACCTCGGATATATTACAAAGCCAAGTTTATTATGGCATTTATTTTTAGAAGAAGCATGGAAATTGCCTAAGCGACTGCCAATTCCTTCAGCCCTTCAGTACTTCAGCCTGAGTCTCCTGGCACTTAACCATTTTTCCTAAAAGATCCTGGCTTCACTCGCCTATTCCCTTTACTTCAGAAGAGGAAAACTTAATATATTGATGCCACTCCCTACCTCAGCACTCTGGCTGCAAAAGAGTTCTGAACAGTCACTGCTACTGTTAAGCTGCCTGTTTCAGGACTCCCAACTAACCAAAATGATATTTACTACCCATAACTGTGCAGAGGGATAATAGTAACAAAATAGAATGTATAATGATAGACGAGGTAGAACTGGTTGCAGTTATCTTGAAAAATTATAGAGGAAGGTATTGATAATGAAGCACTGATAAAAATAATCTCTTAAACCAATCTGTTACTTGTTTTCTGAGAAAATCCTAGATCGCAAGTCATGTATACTATATAATAAGAACCTCCTCCATAATATGACAAAAAAAGTCTATTAACTTTTCAGAATGACTCATGCTAGCTTTCCAAAGTAAATAAATATCTTTTAACTTGACAGCTGACGCAATATGAAGCTGAGTGCTTCCTTCCACTTTTGTCACACTCAGATTGCAGAAAGAAAACATTTTAATGGTGAAGAACAAATTCTCAATTTGGGAAACAGTAGCCCTACAACTCTGCCATGCCACTGGATTTGCTATTTATTGTGTGCCATATAAAAGCAGATAGATTCTCACAGCAGTAATCAATTACAAATTACACATAATCTACAGTAACCTGTACTTCCAGCATTACAGCTATTGATATTAAAAAAAATGGACTGTGGTATATGTAAACACAATGAAGATAAGTATGTTTCTCTTTTCTTTGATTGAAATGGTGACAGCTGGAGCAAGCAGGAAAGCAGGGGAAGACCAGTGTTTCTTCTGCTTTGTCCTGGTCTGTTGAGCTAAGCTGGCTCAGAAAGAGGAATTTGCTAAGCTGCACCCTCATCAGAGGCACAGGAGGCGGTGGTGGAGCCTGCACTGCCATGGCTTGTACCACAAAGCCAGCTTTATTCTCTGGCAGTGTGACTCAGAGCTATTCCAGGACAGTGTGCCTACACACGGGCTGTGGTCTCACTGCTTCACGATGCAAGGAGCCTGAAGGAAGGATTAAGAAACCATGTGAACCATGCAGCACAGACTGTCTTGTACCTGAAGAGATGTGGCTGATAATTAGCAATGCACATTTCTCCTTTCTGTTGTACTAGACAGGCTGAACCAATACTGAATTACTGTTGTTGTCAAACTGTTTCACAAATTGCTATTAATTTCTTTCATAGTTAATGTTACTTGATTTAAAGAATATAAAGAATAATTTTTAAAGAAGCTAAATACTCAGGGAATCTAAATTTCCACTCAACATCACTGGGAATGTCATTGCTAACTACCCTGGTGTATTTTAAAAAGTTTTAAGATGTCAACATTAAATTCTTTATCAATCTTGCTGTTATGTTGGCTCTGAAGACGAGCAGCGATGGGTAGCTATAACTCAAGACTGGCAGCACAAGTAGGCCCACAGAGTCACCTGTGAACAGTACTAACTTCTTCACATTAACAAGACAGACAAAAAAAGAGCTGACTATTGCATAAGTCACTCAGTGAAGATGCAACACAAAGAGCAGACAAAATGTTAGAAAACACACAGAATGAGACAGAAATAACTAAGAAAGTAGAGGGAAACGAAAAGCATTCCACAAAAGCATCTGAGTTGTGGATAAATTTTTACTTGAGGTGATTTTGACTGCAATACTACTAAAATGTTCAGAACAGAGAGTAAAAAACTATGATTCAGCATAACACAGACATTCAAAGTAATGCCAAGGATAAAGAGTTTCCTTTCTCAGGAGAAGGTGATGTTATAATAAAATATAAAATCTGAGACTTCAAGACACAAAACTAAAAATTGCAGCTACTTTTTGGACTATTAAAAATAAAAGTATCCTAAGCCTTCCTTTTTAAGTTAATGACGGTTGTAGCGGAACAGTGTTGGAAGCACCATAGTCATGCATCTGTGCTTGTCCTTGTGTCTCTGGGCCTTGCTGCTCCTTGCAGATCTGGTCTAGGAATACAATCAACTATGGTTTTTCAACAGAAGGCACTTATAATATGTGATAACTTGGTATGAAGGCTATTCATTATTACAGAATGTTGCAAAGAGCCAAAATAGAAAGGGCTGGAATCCCTTGCATTTAACATCTGGTCTTTGCTGAAATGAGTTTTTGGTTACCCTTTGAACTATGTTCTGAAACAACGAAGAAAACCCCCATTCCCCATTCCTCATTCCCCAATGCACTACTTTTCTAAAAACAGCATCTAACAATGTCAGACCTACATTAAAACTAGTTAAAGCCAGTGGAAAGATAAAGGAAGTAACTGGAAGCTGGACCAAGAGCAAGAAGCTTCAGTAAGAGATTAAGAAGAGATCATCCTTCAGTCACTTGAAAGGAATTCCCAACCTCCTCTATCTGTGATGAAGGCTTTCTTTACAGGTCATGGACACAAGATGCCAGCAAGCCACTGTGGAGAAACCTGAGGACTTCTGCTTGGCGCTTTGTTGGTTGGTTTTTCAAACAGAATATTATACGTAATATACACATTGTATGGCAGTTTAAAATGTTTCTCAGCCCTAGTAAAGGCTGTCCATTACTGCCTTCAGCAATGGAGGCACTGAAGTTGAAGTTGCAGGGAGTAGAGGTGGGCCAGGTCTAAGTTGTTCCTAAAACCTCACCAGTAGAAACCAGGAAAACTTTTGAAACAGGAGTAGACATCACAGATACGTTCGCTTATAACAAGAATAGCACAATTGTTTTATAACAAACAATTTGAAGTAATCTACAAAGAATGTAAAAAGCCTAACACTTCACTTAGGACTAGAAAAGCAAAATTATGCTGCTTTGATGTTCCTAACTTCTGCCTAAATCTAATTAATGTAAATTCTATCCAAATGCATTAAACTTTACATTAAGCAAAACGACACCCAAAACCACGGCATGCAGGATCCTGAATGTGCCTCAGTGACACTAGTGGCAAAACTCCCACAAACTTCAAAAAGCAGGACTAGGCCTGGGCAGTTCTGATTTTTTCCTTTCTATTTTCATTCCTAAGAGAAAAGATTTCTGTTTAGGTTTAATAGTCTTTGCACCACAGCTACCCCTGTGGTTTTTAATCTGGATGAGACGTTTAACAGTACTAACATTAATGTTGTTTCCCATAGTAGAAGCAATTGAACATTGGAAATAGGCCAAAATTATGAAATCAAGCAGTGGAAGCTGGAAAAAGCATAAACTTACTTGTATGTTAAGTAGAGAAAAGTTTATAAATTAATTGGGGCCTGAATCCTCAAAATTGCTTGGAAAATAAAAGAAAGAAGAAGCAGGGGAGCTGAGCTGTTTGTTAAAGACCAATTCCCCTACTGTGAGGCAACACTATATAGTCATCTGACAAAACCTAGGATCAGTAGGGCCCTTCTAAGAAAAGGCAGCGGCAGCAGTCACAGGAAGCTTGACAAGGCTGCAGAGTCATAAAAGGTAAAGAATTAATGAAAGAAACAAACACATTTATAGTTTATCTACACAAAATCCATAAATTGGTTTCACTTTCAAAGGTTTATGCAAGAGCAATGAGGAACAAAGAAAGAGCTATGTCCACAGGCCATGCTGATTTCTTGTCTATTTTGAACAGCTGGCCTCTCATTAAGAGACCAGAGGTAAAAATTAAACACAGACACAAAGTCAAATATAGCTATGAAAAATTCTGTCTATTAAAGTAGTTAATAATCTACCAAAGTATTAACTTGATATATACTTCTGTCATCCGGGGATGTCACAGTATTAAAGGTGCTGATGATAATATGCACATTTGGACTTGAACTGTCTCTCATCATCAGGTACACAAACACCTAATAAGCACAGTGTACTTTGGATTTCTGCAGCTCATTGAACACAACAGTGAAAGAGAAACAATCCAATTAAATAATTTTCTTTTGTTTTGCTGTTGTCCAGAATGCAGTAGAGTTTAAAATATTTTTTTGGACAACACCTATTTTTAACGTGACAAAAAAAGCCAGCTTCCTACCTCCCACTTCCAGCTGCTGTTTCTTCTCTGAATCATTCTCTCTAACCATTCTCTCTCTTTCCCATGCAAGAAGACTAGGTGAGGAGACTGACAAATGAAGTTCCTTGATAAGGTAGCAGTGTGGTGAATTAAGGTGAAGTAAAGCAAAATGCATAGAAAAGGCTGGGGAAGGTTGCTTTGTTAGGTTTTATTTTACTGCTGTATAAAATACTAATCCAAAAGAAAAGGAAAACAAACATACGTGATCTGAATGATAAGAATATGAATTCATGTAGAGAGGAAGAACCTTCTCAGAGAGTAATTTTTAAGAATTATGATAGTGTCTCAGAAATAAGGCTATGATCTTGTGGAAAATTAAGAAAAGGGAAATAAGTTTTAGTTAGAGTTAAGATTAATGGGTTAACTGCCGTAAAAGATAAAGATAAGGCCATGATAGTTACTGTTTAGGTCTTAAATTTTAAATGTGGAGTGAATTTCTGTTCAGATGAACACGAAGGTAAATAGAATAAGAAGTACTTAAAAACAAAGTAGAATGTCTTGAGACTGCAACAGTCTTGTTCTTGGCTGTACAAAATGGAGAAATAAGAAAATAGTTGGACAACTATTCACAGAAATAAATTATAGGGATATTTAATTAATAGTAACTGCATGAAATCACATTGTGAGCAAGTTCCATATGACAGTCATAATATTTTAGTGGATCGTCTGGGCAGTTAGAAATTACCATTACTTCCATCAGGTATTAGGAATTTCTAACCCTTAAATTAATTTTTTATACTCTGAAATGTTACCCTAGTGTCTTGTAGGATTTCCTAAGAATCCTATACAGGAAAAATCCAAGAAAGTGGAAAACCTAACAAAGAATCTTGAAAGCAACGAATGGGAAGCAGTAGGAAAAAAAAGTTTGCTTTCTGGATCTTCAGAAGTTCAACTTCCTCGCAAAATCTAGAAACCTCAAAGAACTGCCAGTCTGGTTACTAAAGCCAGGAACACTAAAGACTACTGGTAAGCTGATCATTCTTTTTTTTCATAAGGGAAGGATGTACAAGCATAGATGTATGCTCAGAAGATTTAAGACCTAAAGCTGTTTCAACCAACTTTTCTCAAATGTTTCTTCTGTAAGAGGTAAATGATGCATGAAAATGTATGCAAGACATGAAAGATATACAAAAAAGACAAAAAATTACTGTGTATATATATTCCTATATACGTATATGTGTAATAGGTGTAAATTTTGTTAGTCATCTATCATGTAGCTACCTAAATTTTTAATTACCCCTGTGTTACCACAACAGGGTAGGCTGGGCGGGATCTTGACTTCTTTTTTTCGTTTAGTTTTCTAAGTTTTCATAGTAACACTCCTGATTATTTGGAGAACATTAACATTTTGTGTGACAAGATTAACATTTATACTAAATTATTTGGAATGATGACAAAATGCTATTTGACCTTGACACAAAGTGTAGAAATGGGGTTACTTCCCCATAAGAGTAATACATTATGAGAAGTAATTTAGTGGCACAATCACTGTATGTCAAAAAGGGAGGAAAAGGAAACGGAAAGGGAAATTACTAGAATAATTTCTCCCTCTTCACCTTTTTTTAGTAGACCAAGAAGAAGAAAAAAAATCCAGAGGATGGGATAGTGGGAAGACGAGACAAGAAGAAATCAGGTGTGCAGCCAGGCTGCCATCCTCGTAAAAGATGCAGGAATAAGGATGGGGAAAGCTTAACATTCCTCAGCCATCCCAGATTGTTGGTACAACCTGAGGCATGGCCTCCACTTGAAAGGCGCTGCTGGCATAACCATATCATTTAGAAGTGGGAAAAAAAATCCTACCCACATCACTACACCCTACTGTAAATGTAGGTCAAGCAGCAAAATAGCCCATTCAGAGACTGGGCTTACAGTGTACCAGTTAAATGGTTTTGCCAACAAAAGCTGTCTTTCTGCTGTGTCTATGTGGGAAGCAGCTACTACCTTTTACAGATCTTTTCACACCTAGGTAAACTCTGCAGAAAACTGGAAGCATCACTGGCTACTTCCTGACGGTAAATTGGGAATCCTGGCCTATCTCTGAAATTAAAAAGCCCAGCTTTTACTACCATTATCATGACAGTTCTCAAGAGTCATCAGCTAAAGTCCTTTTCTATGGGACTTTTGCCTACACTGCAAATAGATACATCCCATACCCATTTATTGCCCCATCCTCACAAGACTAATGATGTTTTGGTTTCCTCTCCTCAGTTTGGTCCTAAGATTCCCTCCCTCCCCATACTACCCTCAGAATCAGCCTGCTGCTTTCAAAGAAACCCCCAGAGGTCAAATTTTCAGGGGGTGTGACCCATCTAACTTTGTGCCTTTGAGGTTGTTCCAACTCTAGCGCCTCAAAGCCCAGCAGAAGTCAGGAAATGAGAGCATATGGTAAATAGTTTAACTCACACTAGTTTGGCTTTCAATTCTAACATGATTTTTCAGTGTTTTGCATCTAGTAAGATGTCTATTAACTCAAAAGGCTCTGGTTAAAGAGAACAAATACAATGACAGTGGACAGACACCAGTGTACTGCAGCTTGTTGCTAAAGAAAGCTGGGTGTGCCATGCAACTTACATATCATATCTCTATTCAGTTCTCTGAGAGATGAAACCTGAGCTCTCAAAAAAATTATCTGTTAAGGTTTAAAGCTCCGGAGGTTTAAACTAAAACAAACATGATAACCAGTATTAGGTTTCTAAGCACATCCAGAGCACTCAGCTTGTCAGCAGTCATATATTTGCAGACTTGCAGCATATGCCAAATAAGAGACAATGAATCCAATAACAGAAAATATAGCCTGTTGTAAAGCCACTTGTAATAGCAGCTGTTGCCTCTATTGAGAAAATGTCTTTAAACATGTTACCTTTGAATACTTCTTTTTTCTCTTGCTCCATCTTTTATGGAGCCTGGGTGGATGCTATAAAAGAAATAGACATTAATTAGGGTGGAATAATTCTCCAAAGGAATACAGCATAAACATCTTCCTCCTTAATTTACCTGATGTTGACCACATATACAGTGTAATTCCAGTTCTGGAAAGTACGGTTCAACTGAAAAACAGGAAGACATTGATCACATGAATAGTGAGATGTTAATGGGGCTCTTCATTGCTTAAGGCACAGTTAGAATTTCACCCTTCTGCCCCTTGAGAAACTCCCTTCAGTTTTGCAAAGCAAAGAGAACACTCTCACATTTCAATGAGGTGAATGTTGAATGTTGTATTTCTCACTGGTAGTGAGAAATGTGGCCTTTTTTATAGATAGAAGGAAATCTCTATAACGTCATGACACAGTGAATAGGCGAGTGCACAGGATGCTGACCTTTTCCTTTTTTCCCCTCTTAAATTCTCAGGAACACTTTGATAAGAATAGATTTCCTGACAAAGCTACCAGGTAAATATTCACCTGAAAGTCTTCAAACTTTTGATGATCTTCTTTTCAGACCTTTGTACTATTTATTCTGAGTGCACAGTGGCTGCTCGGTTTTCCTCTCAAGAGACACTTCTGCATACTCTGCTAGGGTCAAGTGACACCTTTCTATATTCTTTGGCTCAGGCACCTAAAGTACTTTGCCTGGCTACTGATGCTAAGAGAACAACCTTGGCAGGTGTGGATGACTGCATTTCTGGTTTGTAGATTACTACTATAGGTGGTTTCCCTAGCTTCTGAAAGCTGAAAGTTTCAGGTTTATTAAAAGAAAAATAAAGAATAGTTGCCATATATTCATGATATATTTTCATGTAAGTAGTTGTATAAAGACTACTTAGGAACTGTGTGAGTGTGACTATGTGAACTGTCAAAAGAACAGAGAATATCTGTATTCAGGCAGGAAGAACTTTCAGAGACAAGAACTTCAAGAATCCTCCACCCAGAGGGCCCGGAAAGGAGCTTATGTCTACTAAAATGGGCTGAAAACCCAGAGACTACTAGAATCCTCAGCAACTGACCCAAAGGAGAAGCCTTCTGAAGCAGAGAACATAAGGATAAACTGGAAAAGTTTATTGCTTCACACAAATCAGCACTGCCTGGCTTTTTTAATAATTTCTTTTACTATATAACTTCAAAAGCATATTAGCATTTGGGCAGAAAAATTTTGTCCTGTACAGTGAGGTTGGAAATCAGACATCTACCGCTTTCAGTGGACAATTACAATTTCTCCATACTTTTCAAAATCTTACCTAGTATCTACATTTCTTAAGAAGTGGAGACATTTCAAAATTTTATCTGTAGAGCTGAAGAGCTCCAGTTCCACAGAGCTGAATTCACTACTGCACAAATCAATAATAGAAAGATATTTAGAGAACACATATTTAGAGTTTATCTGGTAGCCTATTTTTTTCCTTTTCCAACTGATAATATTGATGCACCAGATTCATATATGTAATCATACAGGAAAGAAACTTAACTTACCCATTCTGCAATGACATCATGTACTTTTGACACTGAGTTGGAGTTGGAACTAAAGACAGTTATAGATATCCTGTAGAATAGCCCACCTGTCCATTAAAAACAGCATTATAATGTTAGAAACTGAGAAAATTTACCTTTTTAATAATGAGACTTTAGTTTCATGATTAATATAAAGATTAGGCTGAACCTCATATACAAGGACATCTCAGGCTCTTCTCGGCATTATAAAGTTCGAAGTGAACAAGGCCTGCAGGTTTGGGACCATTCTCGCTAGTGCTGTTGATTTTGACAAGAGTTCCCTTCCCCTTCATATTTTCAGAGACATTTGAAATGTGACATGGAAATTCACAGGCAACGTATATAAAAATATTATTTTGCATATGCCTCTAATGTGGTGTGTTAAAGCAATATCATGAAAGTGCCATTAATTAAAAAACTATTATAATTAATGAAGTTTGTAAAAGCAGATAAATACTGCTCTAAGTCATATTGTTATAATTCAGAATTGAACCACTGCAGGTTACATTTAAAACTTTGTGAGAGCAGATAAAGCTCATCAATTAAAAGTAACAAGGTAACTGAGGACATAGGAATAGGTGTGAGAAGGGATATACAGCTCTTGTTTCAAAAGCAGTCTTTCTCTCAGGCCTGGTGATGGCCAGAGAGTAGATGAACTCACATTAGCTTTACAAAACTGGCAGCTGAACAAACCATCTTTCAGTCACAAAATGTGTAACACTTGGCTTGGTGCAATTTTATATTCAGAAAGCTGTTTTGAAATGTCACTGGGCAAATATAAATTGTCTTTAAGCTCATGAGTGGGTAGGCAGCATTACAAGATTTTACATCTAACAAATAACATCAAATCATTTCATGGTTATGCTCTGTGTCAAAAGTCTGTACTTCTCACAAGTCACTTTTTTTTTCATTAAGCTACTAAAAAGCCTCTAAGCTCCAGTTGGACAAAATTTCCCAGGATGTGGGGGAGGGTTTAAGAACTTCTGGATGAATTCACTTGCATATATGTGCACATGTGGCATTGCTTGGTTCAGGGCTATTACCAAACAAAGTTGTGGGTCTTGATCATGGATACATGTATTCATTTTTCTGAATCTAAATAAAAGATCTTTTATTCTAAGTGGAGCAAATGTCATAATTTTACAACTTCATAGATAATTATTGTACAAGAGCTTGAAACAGAAGTATCCGGAAAGAAAATCTGAAGCCAGCGTTTTCCAGTTTAATTGTGCATACATTGGTTACTATCTTATTCATGAGATGGCTTGAATATTGTTCTTTCTTATCAATATGGAATTAATCACATGAACACTGAGATTAGTCTGAAAAATCCTCTATGATAAAATACTAAAGATGGTTTCCTAGTTACCTTCTTTGGTAAACTATGATTAAATTTTATATATGAATAGAATGAACTTGCTTTTTGATTTAATGTCTTTTTTTCCTCCCTTAACTCAGGAGATACACAAATTTGATGTACAGTTTAATCTGAAAATGTATTTTAGTTTTATATTATTACTGTGATAGTTTTAAATTTAAATAAAAGAGGAAAAATTAAGTCTTTGAAAGTAAAAAATTGGACTTTGCGCAAGTTGAAAACACTTGCAAGGCCTGGATCTCATTTATATGTATATATCTTTGTATATACACATATTCAATTTTATATCTATAATGTACGTGTGCTATACAGATACACACATACAGAAGGTGTTCATTTAATATATTCTCACATATTCATATATAATTACACATATGTATAATTACAACCTTATTCAGATAATTATACATATGGACAAAACCACCTTAATATAGGAATATGCAAAATATTTTTAAAATCAAACATAGTAAGTACAAAACAGTCAATACCTTCGAGATCTCCACCAGATAGTGACCCAAAGCATGGTTTTAATGAAAAAAAGAATAAGAACAAAGAACAAATTTATATTTTAAAACACTCTCAGGAGACTGCAGTGGCCGATAGTAAAAACTAAAAATTATTTCTCACTCTCCACATTAAACTGTGGAAATCCATCTCAAAATGCTGACTGAAAAAAAAATACGGGTACAAAATTGATAAAAAGTAGTCAAAGATAATTTGAAAATAAAAGAGAAAAAAATAGCATGGATATCAATTCTCCCCACACCCACCATCAACTACAAAAATATAAAGATCAATGAAATACCAGTATTTTTTTTTAAATTCTGTTAGGCAAATTATCTAAATATTCCTTTTTTAAAAAATCTTTGATTTTTGAAATCAAAATCTTAAAAAAAATGTAAGTAAAAAACATTCATACAATCCCAAACAATTAAATGGCATAAAATTATATAAAATACATGGCAACCAATATATTATCCTCACAGTGTCATGAGAGCTGTTTTAGAAAAGTACACAAATACTAGAAATCACGTTAATGACATGTACTATCACTAAGATGTTACAAATTCCCTTCTACTGCAATTAAATTATTATTCCAAAACATCTTCATATGCTAAATCGACATACATCTAAAGGATGAAAGACAGCTACTTCTATGTTCATTCTACAAACTGAATATCTAATAGATAAGATGATGTGGGGTTTTTTATACATCTAACTTAATAGCTTGACATACTGTAGGTGACCTCAGGTCAACACAGGCAGCAAGAATCAGTGAAGGAGACATAAACAAGACAAAAGGACTGCAGCAGAGCTAGTAAGTTGATTCAGTGATGGGTAAGTGGTGCTGTTTTGGCTTGTCCCAGATGGTAAATTGGCCGAGGAATGAACATGTGCCGAAACTGATGACTGATGGTATGTTATAGAAGAAACTTGTGTTTGGAACCGCATGAGAGAGTGATGGATAGCTGCTGTAGCAGCTGTTGTCAGAGCGCCTGTCAAAATGGTCTCTTTGTGCTGAATAACAACTCCACTATGAAAATGGTAGAGGTATCGCACCATTCATTACTGCAGTTCTGGATGACTCCAAAATAGAAGAGCGATTTGCAAAATGCCCATAATCAGCATTTTTAAAATCCAAGACATGAGTAGTAACAATATTCAGAGAAGACATTCCTTCTCTGTCCTTGCTGAAGGATCCATACCCCTCCCCTTCTGAATCCCATTCAGAAAACCTCAATATGTTTGTTGGTGTCAAAACAGCAAAATTCCCTATGTCTTCATTATTGTCAATGTTCTACTGACCATAGAGAGTATCTCAGACTGTCCGCTTGATTTTCAATGGAGTTTTGTCCTAAAACAGTTTGATAACAACATTCTACTGGGTCCTAGGACTGAATTTGTTAGTTGGATGTCAGGCATAAATTTTGTGTATGTTGGGTTTGCACATGGAGTCTCTACAGAGATTAAATTTGTAACGCCTTCTGAGTGATGTTCCTTAATGTACGTAGATTTTCTAAAATGAAATGCACTGTTTGCTGGTAACATCGAAAAAGTTTTCCTATCAGCATTGCCTTCTATCATTTCCATGTAAAAATTTTCAGGTGCCAAGTCTAGCAAATCTAGCCTATTTTTCTGGAATGGTGATATCTCCTGTGTAGATGATATAGAAAAGCCAGAAGGAGAATGATGTCTGTCTTCTTGAATGTCAGAGGTGATGTGATGACAAAATACGGTCTCATTCCACCAGTTCACAGGCTCCAAGACACACAAGAAATTGGTTGTGTTGATGTTGGAGGATGAAATCTAAATAGTTTCTTTTTTGTGTTTGTAAGCACTGCTGCTGCTGCTGCTAACAGGAGAGCAGAACGCTGGCTCAGAGTCAGAGTGACCTAGTCCATTTGCCAAAGTCCATGCTAACTCTGCATTAGGACTTCTGCTGTGAAGAAGAGGAACTGCTGCATTCACAGAAGGCTCTATAACTGCATCTACTGCATAAGAAGTGCCATGAAGTGCACTTCTAGAATAACTAAAAATATTTTCATTTGGCAACTGTTCCATCATAGTATTGTCTAGGTTGATTTTTTCTGTAAAAGCAGCCAAAATTTCACTGTGTATCTCAGAAGCAGCTGATGTAGACATAGTTGGAAGAAACAAGCTGTATGGATTTTTTCTCTCTGGGTTCTCATCTGCTGAGTTTTTACTGAAACGCAGAGGCCTTTGTTTCACTGGCCAAGTAATTGGGGTTGAGATAATTCCTATAATTTTGACCCCTTCTATCTTAGACTCCTGCTGCCACTGTGGTTGTGAACGGGAGAATTCAGGTAAATTTCTCTTCTTTCTGAAGATAAGTATAGCAGGAAGGCTGAATTCTGGCAAGTCTGTGTGCAGTAAGCCACACAGTTAATGGATTAAAGAAAATATATGTAATGTGTATGTTCTTGGCTGTCTGCTCTTGGTTTAAAAATCGACTTACCAAGAGTGGAGAACGACGCCAGTTAGCTGAGTGAAAGTTCAATTTGCTTCTGCCATAAGTGAATTTGGCTTATTTTCTTAGTCTTTCTACTTTGCCCTGGGTGTTTCAAAGCCACAGAAAGGACTTAATTGTCCAATTTTTATTCATATTAACATTAATAAGATTTGATTCCTTCTGTCATTAAAAAAATTAGAGTAACTGCTCATGGTGAACACAGAGTGAGTGGATCCACAAAAAGGAAACAAACACAACTTGCAAGAAATGTTCAATATTTTCTTCTCACTTTTACAGTTTACTAAATCCAAAGAGTCTGGATTCAGATAAATTCTTTCACATTGTGTACTGCATTGCCTGATTGCCAACGTACAATAAATGATCTGCCAAAAGAAAAAATACTCCAAGAGTTTTAAATCCTACAGTAACAACTGATGCATTGGGTAAAAAAATAACCCCAAACCAAACAAGCTAAAAACCAAATGACAAAAAACACCCAGATCCTAATTTATTTCTGTGGAGCACACTGAAAAAATAAATCTTTAAAAAAATAAATCTTTAAGCCTCAGATGAAAATTGCAGAAACCTATCTCTGTGTTGGTAATAATATTTAACAACCATCTTTAACAAATGAATAAATATTTTAGCAGCACCTCACAAAATGATGCTCAGTCTTTAGGAGACAGTGATATCATAGAATTTGAGAAAACCTCAAAAGAAATCCTGGCTTTAATCCTGTGCTAATAATAGGCTCATTTACTACCTTATTTTTTCCCTTAATCTTTCTAAATGAAAAGTAAACGATATGTGATACTGTCAACATTTTCCCTAGTAAAGTCTGATCCAGCTCTTCTTGAAGTCAGTGGAAAGATTCCTGTTGACTCAGTGGAAGTGGCTTTGCTCCATAGGAATGGTTCCACTTGGCTCCTGCGCCTGACTAGTGAGGAACAGACAATCCAAGCATACTACCACCCTGGCTGCACAAGCGGGAGCCACACAATCTTCAGCCTTGAAACGTTTCAACAGCACAGTTCTTTTCGGACCCTTTTCAAAAATCCCTCTCCCTTCCGTAGTTCTTTGCATGGGTTAATACAACGGGTGACACAAAGTTAACCGCTTTCATAGAAGAGCCAGGTAAACATGATACAAATAAACACTGAGTCTGATTCTGTTCTCATTTGCACCATTCTGACATGGTCCAGTGAAGTTAGTCCTGATTTATTTCAGCATAAATGAGATCAGAATTGAGACATGACCCTTGACATTACGATAGTCGGAAAAACACACCTTAAAATACAACAAATTTGCTTTACACACAGTACAAGAAAAATGTAACACAGGATTTCTTACCATTGTTTGGCTTATCGTTTCTATTAGTATCAGGCATGTTAGTGGTGACAGTGGGTGGTGTAGGAGTAGTAGCATTTACAGTAGCTGGTAATAAAGATGAGAAAGAGGTGAACTTGAATGAAATATGAATGTTAATAAGGTAAGACAAAATGGGAACAATGCATGACCATGTAAAATGAAACCATCTACACACAATGCCATAAATGTTAAATAAACATATTATTTTTTCTGCACAAAGTGATGAATAGATATGAACTGAGGCCCCAGTCCTGCAATCTTCACTTGCATTGACTTCACTGGGAGTTTTGCCAGTGTAAAGTTTGCAAGATCAGTCCTATACTGCTTTCATAAACTCAAAATCCTCTTATGAGAGCTTTAGATCGAAACAGCTGTGCAAAGACCAGAAAATAAGTTTGAAGATGCACTTATTGCCTGTGAAAAGAATCATTGTCCCGACTCAAAGACTGAATATGACAAACAAATGAGAAACTAAAACATCCATCTAATTAACTCCATCCATCTAATTAACTCCACCGAGCTCCAAATAATAAAGAGAACTGAAATCAGACTTGGAATAGGTGAAGAGGAATATATATTTTGAAAGCCTGACGTAGGAGCTCAGCTGTACTTATCTCACTGATACCAATAGGAGTCACTCCGAACAATTCTAGAAACCATCTGGACACTTTCCAAAATTAGAGGGAGGAGCCAAAACCTGCAATATTTCCCCACAGTAGACTGGGTTGGTATCCGTGCTAGAGGAATTCAAAGATTATGCCAATCAATTTTCAAATAATGATTTGGGAAATAATTTAATTTTGTCCAGTAACTCCCAAGGAATGCAGATCCACTCACTGACATACTTACTTTTCTCCTGAAAACTCTTAGTTAAAATCTGAAGGTTGGTATGGTAAAATCCCAAATGTTACATGGCTTTGGACGACTTTGACCAAGAAACAATGTGGAAAGGTTAAACAATCGTATTTTGGACAAAAATCGCATTTTTTATGTTTTGTTATGTGGATTTAACTAACCTTCTGAGTCTGAAAGTCATAAATTCAAGTCACAACTTAGGGAGTAGGTTCATGTTAAGGTTTCAGTGAGACAAGACAATTAGGGAGAGAGAAGAAGTTGCACGCTGGAGCAAACAGGTTATATATAACTGGGAAAGTGAGCATATAAAGTGACACCTAAAAAAAGCTCTTCTCTCATGAAACTTCAGAGCTATATTGTCTGAGAAACAAGTTATAAGGCTTCTAATGGATTGTATCTTCCAGTCAGTGCTGTCAAAGCAGGCATCTTTTAATGAATGAAAATATTTACTAAGCATGACGGAGAAAACAGCTTTCATCAGACTGTAGTGATCTGGCATCCACAAACTTTTTGCCTGGTGTTATTGCACAGCATACAACAAACAAACAAAAAAGGAATCCAAACTTGCCTCTCAGTTTAGAGAAAGTCTGCAGTGTCAACAGAAATAGATGGACATCTTTTTATGATTTCCATGATTATTACAATAATGATGATGGCGCTGAACGGGGTAAATCTGATATGGCATCTTATTCCAAAGTGATGAACTGAACACAAGGGACACTTTACCAAACACTTTTTAGAGAAGCGAAGTGAAAATACTCAGTCTTTATTGAATATATGATGGCCTAGGAAGTTAAGAGAGGCAAGTTTGAAACGCAATATCTTCTACTAGACAAGTTAATAAAGCTGGAAAAAAGGATAAGGCTTTTAGAAAAGCAGGTTTGTTTTGACGAAAGTGTGTCCATTTCTGCAGCCATATTAGCTGACGTAATGATAGTATCATCTTTTCATCCCGTGCCACTTTGATATAGGAAAACACTCAGAGTTCTTCCAAGAGAATATACAAAGTTATTTATATGATGGCTGTATTACCCTTTACATATAAAAAGACTAATACTGAATAATTGTGGATGCCTCATTTACCAAGGTATTTGAGTGGTAGTATTTACATCACACTGTGCTTTGTGAATATGATGCCTGAAAATTACTGTTTGAATCTGATTATGAACATTAACAGCATTTCACTTTCCCTGTGGAGACCAGTACACTATGCTCCAAGAACCTGAACCAAATTTACCTCAGGAAAATCTGGGAAAAGTAAACTAAAGACTGACACAGATCCCTTACTGGCTTTCCATGAAGAGTACATTTTCCCTTTTATATTTGACCTAATCTGATTTACTTGTAATATTGGTTTTGAAAGAGTTCTCAGACTTCCTCTTCCCCTCTTATATTTTATTGTCTCCTGTCTCCTTCTTCCACCATTTGTCCAGAAAAGGGTTACAGAGCTAGACATTTTTGGTGCAGTTGCTGCTGTGATTAAAGTCTAACATAAAAGGCCAACACGTTATCAGGTTTGTGTTCATGAAGGTGTTGTGGAAATGCATTGATGTTGTTCGTGTAAAGCACTTTTTATGGAACTTCAGCATCTAAGGTGAACAGAACAAATTAACCATCCTTGCATGTCCACTGATTCACATGACATGGAAATCTTCAGGGTTCACCAATTCCTTGCATTCAACTGAGCTGACCTTTAAAGACATCTAATGCATTCTTATATGTGGTGATTTTTACGCTATTAAACCCTCACTAAGTGCTGTAGCATGTGTTGCATTAACTAATAGCTACTGGATTTTGCAGTTTAATGTTGATTTTTTTGCCTACTAATCTCGATGCATCTAGTCTCAAAATAGCTTATTGAAAAAAACTCTGAACAAGAGCCACTTCCTTTATTTCCATCTGCTCATTTTTTATTTACAGATGTATGCACTTCTTATACTGGTTAATATTTTACTGTCAAAATGTGCAGGAAGAAAAGATGGGCAGAAAGAAATGAAAGCAGTCAATTAATGCAGTTTTGATATAATGGAGACTATTTGGAAAATGTATTATCATGGGAGCGATCACATTTTTTCCACATATTGTACATACAGGACACCCACACACTTGATGAGACCAAAGAATTCCTTTCCTTGCTATTTTTTATTGCCACTCACCCTTTTAGAAACAATAATAAAAAAGAAATGGAATAAAAAACTCAGGATTTCCCAAAGATGAAACTGTGAAAAGGACCTGGGCTTCTTACCTTGGCAAAGGCTTCCTAGGTTTGCACAACTGGTTGGTTCAATTGAAGAAGAGGGAATTAGATATGAGCCTTTAAAAGAAGAAAGCGAATAATTTAGAAAGGGTTGACTACTGGGCATAAAGCTATCATGTCTGAAAACATATTATATCATTCAGTGCAATCCCCTTCCTAATTTCTCTCAGTGGCAAAACTGACACTGCCATTTGCCTATAAGACTTAATGTGTTTTCATTTTCTGTTTCCTCTGCGGGATACTTGAAAACCCCGCTGACTTGCAAGTTATAGTCACTTGTGTATCCTCCCATGGTTTTCTTAGCTTTCACTAAATAACATCACATTAAAGGAATGCAGCTTGCATGTACTGTGTGAAATGAATTTAAGCAAAGGTTCAGTATGGCCATAGGATTTATGCAATCTTTGTGAGTAATAACCCCTGCCTTGGAGGAGCAACTACACTCTGCTACTATAGCACAGGTTACCCGCCACACAATTCTGAGTAATCTCCCTGTGACAGACACCAACCAGATAAAAGGTAATTAAACTTGTTTCTTTGCCCAGGGCGTGGGTGTGATTAATATTCTGGTATGCATGATTTATAAACAAATAATGTTATAAGTCTGTATCTCTACAGAATTGTTCATTACAACAAGCATACGCTTCGATGATCTGGAGGCAAAAACAGGGCACGTAAGAATGGCTACAGAAAAACAAACGGTGCAACTGAATTAGTTGCACTTTGTGTATCCCAGAAGTTCAGCTGCAGACAGAGCTGCCTTTGCACATTGTGTTGAAAATAATGAGACCATAGAGCACCTGCAAAATGTGAACCTACTAAGAGTGCTGCCCTTTTGACTTTGCTTTACCACCTCAGAATCATATCAATTCAATGAGGTTGTCTCCTTCCATAAAATTCAACAGCCACCATCCAGCAGCTTGTAAAGATAGTTAAGAAAGTATTTCCTGTGACGCAAGAACAAATGAAGCATGGACCCTCGACACAGACATCGTATGATGCTGCAGATACTACTACGTGTGTTGCTGACAAATATAAGGCAGAATTAAAAACGTGATCCTCAACAAGTATTAAAACTCAGCAAAATTTTTTTAACAGATTAAGAGATAGAGGTAAATTCACTCCCTTGGTATATGAACTCCAGAAAGGATGTTCTAAGTGAATGCACTACATCCTGCATGAGCTTTCTTTTTCCCCCCAAAATAAATATGCTAATATTAAACAGTCAATATCAAAACCTACTCTAAGTTTAATCTCTGCTCTGTAACATGGAACAATGACCTACCTGAGAGTTGGCTGGAAAATCTGCAGGCATTCATATTTTCTTTAGTATTTAAAACAAGACTGTGATTTTATTTGGTGAAACTAAAAAAAATCCAATCCAACTTTACAAAACATTTAAGTCAGAAGACTGTTGTATTGAGTTTGCATGGCAAGGGTTTGGCAGCAGCGGGGCTACAAGAGTGATTCTGTGAGAAGCTGCAAGAAGTCTCTCCTGTGTCCAATGGAGACAATGGCACTCAGCTCCAAAAATGGACCTGCCACTGGCCGAGTCCATCAGCAACAGTGGTAGTGCCTCTGGGATAACAGATTTTAAGAAGGGGGAAAGTTACAGGACAACAGCAATGCAGCCAAGAGAGGAGTGAGAATATGTGAGAGTAAAACCCTGCAGACACCAAGGTCAGTTAAAAAGGAGCGGGAGGAGGTGCTCCAGGTGCTGGACCAGAGATTTCCCTACAGCCCATGGTGCAGCCCATGGTGAGGCAGGCTGTCTTCCTGCAGCCCATGGAGGTCCACAGTGGAACAGATATCCACCTGCAGACCATGGAGGACCCCACGCTGGAGGAGGTGGATTCCTGAAGGAGGCTGTGACCCCATGGGAAGCCCATGCTAGAGAAGTCTCCTGGAGGGATCTGTGGACCCATGGAGACAGAAGCCCATGCTGAAGCAGGTTTGCCAACAGGACTTATGACCCGATGGATTTGTATTACAGGCAATTGTGTGATACATCTCACTCCAAATGTCTGACTCAGACATCCATATCTGCATGTCATAATAGACTTTCTTCATAGTCAGTGGAGAGGAACAAGCACTCCTACAGCAAAAAAACTTCTGACTTCACTAAGACATCTTCTCCAGTATGAGATGCACTGACCTGTGGAATAGCCTTTTTGATTCCACTGTTCATAAACAGTACTGAGGGCAATTATCTCTGCCTGAAAAATTGTCCAGCTGCCTAAGGCAGAAACATCCCACACTGAGTTAAATCTGACAGTGAAATTAAGAATTCCTTTGGCCTTTGGAAATGAAGAACTCATATAAAATGCATATAAAATAAATGCAATTGCAGGCATGGAGACACATGCTGCCACATTATCCTTAAACTGAGTAGATCATATCCTGCTATAGGTGTAGCCAATTCAGAGTTCAAAATCAGAACCAGAAGTTGTTTAAATGCTCCTCAATTTGCCTGCACTGAACTCTGAACCAGTGTTCAGTAGCAATAAAGTGCTATCATTACCTAGGCTACTTGTTTTAAAATTAGTTCAGATACCCAGGCTGTGTATGTATACCTTTAAATGCAATCTGTGCAAAGGTATGGCAATAAAAACAGAATTCTGTCAAGTCCTACACAAGCACCCCACCATGACTGCGCAGCTGTGAAAACATTAGTCTAGGGAATAAACTAGTAAAAGGTAAAACTAGGAAAAGACTATCTGAAACAATCTGCCAGTGTTTTCAAGCTTCACAAACCTACTTGTAAAAGCTTTGTCTGAAAAACCCTGAAAATAATACCCCTTGATAAACATAAGCACTGTTCAGGCACAGATACGTTGAGATCACGGCTAAATGCTTGGCTTGCTTTTTTTTAAAGTGACATGCTGCTTCCTGGTGAAGCATTATTGGAGCTGTGTGAAAACCTCTTTTCTGCATAAATCCTTCCATTGCTGTTAAATGAAGCCTAATCAGAGTCAGCTCTCCAATGTTAGTGGTTTATTCATGGTTGATAGTCTGACTCATCAACTCTCCTGTTGAAGGATGGTTTTACAAAGAAGGCTTTTACTCAAGGAGAGGAAGGGAAGAAAATTCTAACAATTTAATCACTGGGATTAGTAACCATCTTTGAAATGGTATTGCATCCAGTATTTTCTTTTAGGAAATACTCTGGCTCAGGAAAGCCTTTATCACAGAGGGTGATTTAACATCTAAGAAAGAAAAACACTGACTAATGAGTTAGTTTTCTCATAGGCTGATTTAGAGGAAATAACAATGCTTATATGTAGATACATTTTAAGTGACTTGTATAGACTCTTGGGCCTAAAGTAGGAACACTAATATACTTTTTCTAAAACAGTGCTCTGCTGGACACTGATATCCCAAGGAATAAAGCTGTGCAATGAAAGTAAGTCTACTGTTTCTATTACCACAGCTGTGATACTACATTTGTGTTACAGGACTGTACAGTCTTCAACAGAAAGAAGAACAAGACCCCTACTTCAGTCAAAATTAAATGAGACTGCAGCTTTTAAAGAGGTCTTGGTAGGTTGTTTGGTAAAAGTGTTATGGTAGTCATCATGGTATAACAGTGTAAGAAGAGTAAGATTTTTTGGAAAGTTATTCGCTATGAGATCAGTTTATACTGATGAAATAGAAACAACTTTCTTGTCCAGAACACCTTTATCAGCCATAGTCAGATCAGTCTTTTCTTTGTTCTGGTAGAAAGGTGAAAGTATCCAGTTGCTTCTGGTTTTATAGAAGTGTTGCTTAACCTTTTTTAGCAGAGGCACGCTGAGATCTGTCTCAGTGGGTCTAGCTGTGATTGTGTCTCACACTTTGATTTGAGTAAAATAAAGCAAGCAAGATAGCTTTTTTAGCCACCTTAATCCCTTATGAACTATTAGATACAGAAACTAGCATGTCTTAATGGTGCCAGCTTCTGTTCTAAGCTAATGACTCTCTTAGTGCTGACAGATGCTCTGTCAGGAGATGTTTATATTGACACCACTTAAACTGTGCTTAAACCAGTAAGTAATAAGGTGTCAGAGGAGCAAGAAGGCAAAATTGGAGAGGACATTAGATGTGAAGAGACCCCACCTGGTTTAGAAAGAAGCAATATCTGTAACCATTTTCTTTGATTTTTTTGCTTTTGTTTTTGTCAACATGTATTCATTATTATTGGAGAGCTTAAACTCTGTGGACATGGAGTTTGACAGCAGCTCATTTTACAAGCATCATATGTATGTGTATAGGCTGTTCCTGGCCATGGTTCAGATTTTTCACTGTGCGTTTTATAATTATCTAAATATCTCCAAAGCTATTAAGCAAAACATTCTTTAAAAATTATTATTGTTATTAAATTATCTATTACTTATTGGTTTTTATTATTATTCTTCCAAAGTGACAAAGAGTTTTCAGCTTTGATTTTTTTTTCATTTCAGCAGAAAACTGCCAACCAGCTGTAAAAATATATACATATACAAAAAATACATCTGGACACTTGATGAGAATCAAGTGTCTGAGCCATGAAACGAGAACAGGTTGGACAATGTATTGAAATTTATCTTCTAGAGTAATCTACAGGAAAAAAGACCTTCAGTAATTACCAATTAAAAGAAGGACTGATAATATATCATCAGGGAGACAAAATCTGATGATTTTGATCTAAAACTCTTCCTTCCTGTCTGCCTCCTCTAATTTAATATTTTCTCCTACTTTCCTGTCTCATATGAATTGTCATTTTGTCACTGATTTTGCTGGCTTTGTACACTCAGCAGAAGGCCACCAAGCACTCCCCTGGCTAATCAAAGGGTGAAAGGGCAGGTACAAAAATTAGTAATTAGTTAGTCAACATACTTTATTTTTTTTGTCTCCAGAGACCACTGTAATCTTACTTGGGGCTAGCAGGTAGTTGCAGTTATCCCCCTTTTGCATGAGCCAATAAGGAGTGTTTGGGAAAAACTTTGATCTGCAGATCATTTCAAGCAGCAACTCAATATACTTAGGGAACTTGTTCTTTTCCTTTAAGGAATCAACTCTATACCTTTCAAAGCCTCTGTGTATGGTAAGAGTTGAGCTAAAGTCTAAAAAAAGTAAGACCTAGCTATTTTACTTTCACAGGAACACTCTCATCTTTTTCCATCTTGGTATATGATATGTTCAGCACAGTGCAGAAGTGGGGGGGGGGAAATAAGCAAAAAAGTCTTGGCAAGGCGTACTCACCACAACTCAAATTGTTTTCTGCTTTCAGTGCTGAAGTTGGAATACTCCAGAATTCATTTTCCCAGTCTACAATGTTTCCTTTCACATCGCAGCTGAGGTTGGCCAGTGTTTGTGCATTCATGGTGAAATTCCAGAGGCGGAAGTTGTAAATGTCTCCATTTAGAGAGCTCATTTCATTGCTGTTAGAGCCCAGCACCAGCCTCCCATTTCCAGGGATAACTTTGTCAAAGATACCTGGACAATACACTGTATGATAGGTGCTTTTGGCATATATACCTATAGTCTCTGAGAATCTGTCCCATACAACACAGAGCTGTTGAAAGGTTCCCGTGAAAAACTCTGCATTTCGGGGCAATGCATTCTCAAGGATGCACTGTGTGCCTGAGACGGACAGAAAATGGCCTTTTGTGGTCTTTCCGAAGCTGAAGAATTCTGTCGACAATGCATTAGTGTAGGAGAAAACCTTCCAGTCGTCGTTGTCATCACTGTTGCCTTTGGTTGCTTCGAAGCACAGTGTAAACTGGCTAAGATCTGGCACTGAGACAGTCTCTGCCACAGACACAGCATCTATGTCGGGAACCTGGGGAATGATGACTTTCTGATTCCTCAGAGACACAGCGACTAGAAACAAGAGCAGATGAGTAAATTAACAAAAAAAAATTTCATCATATAGAAATATAGGCAGACTGGCAGCGGGGTTCAAAGTAAGATTCATTAAATCAAACATTCATTAGGTGGTATTTATCACTGTAATTGTCATAGTTTGAAATTGGCCCCCCTGAGAGGCTGGGGGGGGCTCAGAGGTGATTGGGTGCCAGGACAGTGTTCCCTGGAGAACCAATCACCACTCATGTTGTTCGCTTCTGCTCAAAATCATATATCACAGCACTGGAAACGGTTGGCAGTTCTGTCTTGTTGTTTTGGCTGTTGGTGTCTGCTGCGTGTAGGTGGAGAAGGCCAGGGGGTGGCTGGGCTCCCTCTCTCCCCCTCTGGGGGTGTGGCTCAAACTGCCACAGTAATATATCAATAGCACACAACAAGGGGAAATTAGACTTACTAGTACACTCTGGTGAAAATATGCAGAGATCCTTTCAATGGCACAGAAAATGCTGTGTAACAGCTAACAACCCCCTACATTGCATTAAGAGCAATATTAGGACATATTACTTGCTAATTTCCAATTCCGCCTCAGCTCACTTTATAAAAATTACTACTCATTCATCGACTAAGGATGCACTAGGCAATGGAGTAAACCAGTTATCTGAAAAACACAGTATGACTTGCTTTTAAGATATATTATTTTGATTACTTGTCTGCATGACTGTATTACACCAGTGAAGTTCAGGCCTTGCTTCTTTTAATTATCACAATAGAAGAAAGCTGCCATTACATTCTTTGGCAAACTGAAGCCTTTTGTTTCTGAATTCAGCTAATGGCTTTCTGCAAAGCATTAGGCATCTTCTCATTTTGTCCCCAGCAGCTCTCTGGTTGAATACTGCAATCGCGTGTTCACGAATATTTATATCCAAGCTGCTCACTATTTGCTAACAGTTGGGTCAGCAGTTTTGGATTTTGCACAAGTGTCTAGAAATGTCTAGTCCTCCTGTAAATTATGTACTGCTGTAAAGGTATTTAGGCATGGGCAAAATTGCTCTCTCTGTTATTAAGTATTCTCACTTTCATGGACAAAATGGCAGTCACCAAATGTGAGAAGACGTATCCCATGACATATGCTTTTTCTCCATGAGTACATTAATGACAATTCTGTTCACTCTATTTTGGAGAACATTAGTTTTCAAAATAAAATGTCAATATGCTCAGTTTTATTGGCACATTTATGGCAGCAAAATTCTTCCAGCAAATTTCTCCACAGAATTAAGTTTCTGGCTATCAGACATGCACAGGCAGTCAAGATCAGATTGGAGCAGCTCCTGGTTTTACTTCTGGCTCCACAGTTCTTTGTCAGACCATATCTCCAGCAAATGTTTGCTACCTCTTACACATTTTCACAGCAAATATGCTGGAAGTGAAACTGTTTCTTGCTGCACCTGAAGGATAACTGCCACAGTAGCTAATTCCTAGACTCCTCTGGGATTTTTCAGTGATGTCACAACTCTTACACTCATTACTACAACTTTTGTCTTCTCAGAATGAAATAAAAACCTTTTTAATATGAGAGGGTGAGACAGTAGGGAAGGGTGACTGTCACATCATACTTGGGAAAAGATGCAGATATATGGGGTATAAGGATTCTGTGTTGTCTGTGGTACTGCAAGTTCCTTTTGCCAACCAAGACACAGCTGCTTGCAAAGACTGAGCTCTAAACTACCATATTTGGATATACACAAGGATATAATTTGACCAATATATTACATACTAAAAGAACATAAAGCATTGCTCACTATCCGCCAACCCACCAACTGCAGAACGGGAGGGAAGAGAGAAAAATACTGGGCTTTTATAGTTACTGGATTTACTTCATAGATTTATTTTTCTTCCCAAGGGAAAAAGTATGTTGTAACAATTTTATAGATAGAAAATGTGTTCAACTCTCCATTGAAAACAGGGGCATTTTTTTAGTGGGGTAATTATACTGTAAGCTCCTTTACGTAACATGGAAAGTGTTCCAGAAGAAGTATAAGGATTCGCAACTTGGAAAAGAAGAAAGCTTATTCATATGAGCACTATTCAGCCTGTGTTAGGGTGGTCAGGAAAGTTGTGGACCACTTGGTCAAATTTAAACAGTACAGAAAGAGAAATAAACAGAGAGGACATTGCTCCCATACTGAAGAAATCTCCTCAACTTTGCTGTATGAAAGTGCAAAACTGAGAAGTATTTTGTCCCCATGAAGAAAACAGAATCCCGTGCAGGTGTCTTTCCTGATTGCTGTTGCACTCAGTCATCACACTGACAAATTTCAGATGTTAGTACTGGAGAAACTGCTTATTCTTTGAGGAAGAATATACATATATTCTTGGAATATTCATCCAAGTGTTTATACTGCATTCAAAATGATGTTAAATTGTTTCTCTTAGGAAGACAACTGGATTACAATGGACATGGGCTTTTCTGACATATTGCGATTTTCTCATGAAGAAGGTACAAAAAAATTTACTTGCATCTCACTATCTCACATTTCATACACCCCTTTATGCATAAGCAAGCCAGGAGTCCCTAGACTGCATTTTACCATCCCTTGCAGGGAAAACTGCTTTCCTGTCAGCTGATGGGCTTTTCAGCACGGTTCAGTGCTTGACTGGTGCCTTTGTCTGCCCTGTCACTGATGCTGAAGAAATGTATCAAACTTCAATGAGATCTACAAAAGTCTACATACCAAGTGCCTGTTTGAGAGTGTCTTGTTACTACCTCAGTGAATTGTGCTATTAATCTGAGCTACTGCAGTACTACTCAATAGTATGCTAATCTGACATTGTCTCAAGCATTTCTGTACTAACAGTCATCTCTTGGCCTCTTGCCATGTCTTGTCCTCCCCTTTTGGCAATTGAGTGACTTTTACTGACTAGTGGAGCTATTACTTATGCAGTTAACTATTACTAGAAAATTATTTACCAGGCCAGCTCTTCAGCTGGTGTAAATAGACATTAATTTCCCTAAGACTGGCAAAGCTGCATTTGTTTACTGAAGCTGAGGATATGGCCCATCCATCTGCTGTTGGTGTGTTGCAGTAGGTCACAATCAGAAAATCAATATTTATGTAGGCAGCCAACTTGCTATGGATAACAGAACACACTTTGCAAAACTCATTTTGAAACTTGTTTGTTCTTACATAACACTGAGCTGTCACAGAAAAGCTGTTCTATTCCCAATCTACTTCCCTCCCAAAACTCATTGACATGTGCCATGAGGATGAGTTGTAATTTCAATGTGTGTGTGTGCTGATGTCCTATTGTCCACTTGCTTTTATAACTTGAAAAGCAAGTGGTACATTACAATACCTTTACCAAGCCCATTTTCTGTATCCATTTCCAGGTTAAATGTCACTATGATCTTTGTCTGTAACAACCTTCTGAAACTAACATAATTGCACAACTGTGGCAATAAGCAGAATACAGTTTTAATTTGCCCTAGAAGCATGTGGGCAGCTCTCCCAGCATCCATGGTCAAAATCAAGATGTCAGGTGAAAGTTACACATTCCCAGTAATGAAGCCAAATTCATTGGCCTCAGTCTAGATGCTTAACAAAAAGCTTTAACACAGACCTTCTGAACCAATATATATGAAACATTAAAATACAAGTCACTGGTGAAGGTCTCCAACACTTTTATTCACACTGGGGAATAGCCTTCTTTTTCAAAATAAAAGGATTTCCAAGACTATTTAATGGTGCTATCCATGAACAGAAGGCACTATCCAACATGGCATAGAGGTAATATTTTTGCTGTCATAAACATACATTACCTCTAGGTATATATACACAAAGGGCTCTCAGACTATGTCTGTGGACCTTTCCTCTCTTCCTCATTAAACACAGCTGAGGGTAAGATTGCATCTTTAAATTCCAATTGAAAGTCATCTTACCCTTACAGTGATAATTAAACATTAAAATATTGAAGAGGAATAAAGAAATAAATCATTTGAATAATCTGACTGCAAATAATTTTTAGGATCCACTTGATTTTACAACTTCTTACAACACAGCAAGAGTTCTATTTTCAAATTAAGAAACCTTTCCGAAAATTTGTTTCCACTTTCACAAAAAAACCAGCGCTTCTAGAATTATTACTACATTCATTTTGTCAGCATGAAAGGACCTCAGTAGAAAGAGATATTGTCAGCTCCTCTGTGATGTTACCTTTTTAATTTTAAGAACTGCACACAAATTTTGCTGTCATAATCAGGCCTACTTTTGTCTTATCATTCCTGGCAGTTACTATCTTAATTATTTTAAAATATATGACATGTAATAAATATTTTTAAAATTTAAATAAAGGAAGATGTGTTTGTGACTGAAGACAGAACTGCCAAGCATCCCTGCTCTGTGATTTTAAGGCAGCCAGCCAATCCACAGAACATAAGTGTGCTACAATAATGTAAATGCTCAATGCAGTACTAGTGTTCAGTTTAAGGTGTGCAACTTCTACAAAAAGAAAGCCTACTAAGAGAATGCAATTGGAAACTAAAGAAGTGGAATGAACAGTGAGCCGCATATAGGGCCTGGCAGTGATCATCCTAATGCCCTCCATTTAATGTCATGTAACTTCTAATTAACACTTTAAATAAAAAAACAAACACCAATCAGAAGCTATTTGTACCCCTTTAGGAGAAAAAGCAGGAGTGTCTTGTTTTTTGCAGTTTTAGGCTTTTTAAAACCTTTAAAACCACTGTTATGTGTCTAAGGAAGGGAAAGAAGTATCAAGGAACTGGAACAAAAGGTAGCTATTTGCAACATCAGTTCATTCCTGGAAGTTCGTTCCAGAGACTGGACAAACTCTGAGAAGTTCTACTTTCTGTACAAACTCCTCCCTACCACTGGTCATTTCACTGGGACAGAGGTCTGGGCTGGTGTTGTTTCTATCTCAGCTAAGTTCCCTGTCATGCTGTCTTTAGGTTCCTATGTCCTCTGCAGGTATGCTGACCTGAAGGACACGCATCCTGCTTTCAAATCTGCCCGCATAAATTGGTAGAGTCAGGAACTGTTAGGCCTAAAATCTTTGCATGTGAAAAGTTTTTCTAACACATTTCCTGTCATGTGTCAGAATAAAATAATTTTGATTCAAAGAAAAATAAATTAGTTAAAAAAACATACAAGAGAACCCTGTAGCCTGTATCCTGCAGTCCCCCCATCCTTTCCCTTCTCATGGAGGACTTGATTCCTTTGGGAAGTGTCATTCTAATCCTTATAGGACATTTCCTTCTAACATCTATAAAGGGATGAAATGCTTTGGTTTTACTTACTTCGTACATAACTGGCATTGAAACCTTTCTTTTGGATACTGAAGTCACTTTTAAATGACACAATCATTTCATTCCCAGTAGAGTTATAGGATAATCCTTTGGCAGTGATACCACAAAGGTTCATTGGGCTTTCTCCATTGTCTAATGTCAGTGAATCATAAATGCAGCCTGGAGCTTCTTCAATGTCAAAATCAATAAATGTTAGCTGTACGATAAATCCATGAGGTGCTCGGATGATCCACTTGCATGCTTGGCTGTTGGGATAGTCACTGGGGAAGCACGGGGAAGTGAAAACTCCAGAGGGGTCAGTTAGCACGATCCTACAGTCGTAGCATCCATGAGCTGACAATCAAAACAGAGAAGGGTGGAGGTCAGGCAGAAAGGTAACTTAAAAGGCAAGTAATCATCAACACAATAAGTAAATGTATTTCTATACAGAAAAACATAAACAGAGATGGGAGAAAGAAAGGCAGGAAAAGGCCTCATTTCTAGTGGGCAAAATGCTGGAGGAATAGTATAGGAAAAGAGTATTTTATATAAGAAATTTTACAGCAAAGAAATATAAATTATACTGCTAAATATTAATTTGTGCACATGATATATATTTGCCATTAATATTGGCCTGATAAAGGCAAAGCGAATGCAGTCTTTTTGAATTCAGAAAGGCAAATTCTGAAACTGCTACTTCAAGAAAGATGACTGGTATAATTTCATTTTTTGACTGCTGGTCTGATGCTGACTGGTGGCTGTCCCAGCAGCTCTATGCCATGCCACTGTTTCCAGAGAAGTGTCCCCAGAAAGGAGCAGGAGACGGGTTGAAGAGCAGCAGAAGTGGCAGTTCCTGAAGGTTAGTCATCTGCATTTCCAGCTAATGCATTCCACATCACCCAGAAGAGTAGCAGTGAGCTACTGGCTTTTGAATCAACAGTAAATTACTGTGTTCTTCCCATGCTGAATCAGCTCCATTGACATATTTGTAGCAGTCAGGCTTTAAGAAATTCTTATTGTATTCCTCATACTCCTTTGCTCACCTGCTGTGCTCATCCACGAGAACTGCAAGCCCAGTTAGCCCCCAGGGTTGCGTTTCTTGTTTCGTTTACATTTGCTCATTTATCATATATTTACTTAGCATAATATATGATATAATTACCATAAACTTCCTGCTGCTAAAATCTGTAACAATTTGTCAAAGCATTACTGAATAAACTAGGTGGGAACTGAATATCACCAACAGATAACCTAAGAAAGTATTTGTCACATTTATGCTGAATTACTTTGCTAATATTCCATCAAGCCACAATTCTGAGTCAAGTACTACAAGTACGGAAAAAATAGGACAATGTGAATATGCATTATTAGCTGCCCAAACTAAAAAAAACTAAAAAAGTTTGTCAAGTGCAAACTACATATGGAGCACCTATAAAATAGCAATAAATGCAACTTACTTCTGCAAAGAGCCCTTGATGTTTCTTACCACTACCTGGGGTCTGATATTTTTCAGTCACATTTAAATGCTGTTTGGCCTAAGCAAATAGACCCTGACCCTGTAAATCGACATGCCAAAAAAAGTAGTTTACATCCGCAGGTAGAATTGTTACACTTTTTATAATTTTTATTTGCAAAACACAAATCATATGACGGCAAAGAGGTAAAGAGACTGTTCATTATTTGGCCTCTCAGAGCCAAATGCAGGCTGGTTACATCAGGAAAGCTCAGTGGGATCCTTCTTTGTTCAAATGAGAAAAAAGGATTGTCTGAAATATTTGCAGGTACCTTTGGGAAGAAGTAGTGCTCCTGGCATTGGAAAACTTGATCTGTGTAGTATAAAGAGAAGCCTATCCACGCTGATTTTCTCTGCAAATCTTTACAGTTAGAGGACTATTCTAACCTGCACTGCAACCCTGGTGTTCCATTTATTAATCAGAGAGGGAATATTTACTTATTAGTACGGTGACTCTAAATCCTGCAGTTGTACAAACAGATGATGGCTTAATTGCCATCATAGATTTTGCACAGATAGGTATAGCTTTTAGAGAACCACCCTAGATTGAAAGGAGGAGGAGGAACAGGAAAAGCATGCTCTATGCCACAAGCCAGTGCAGGCAGTCTGCTAGTCCAGGGCTAGTGAGCCTTTACAGGGCAGAGCAGCTGTAAGACAGTTCTGGCTGGATCTGCCTCCCACTGGAAGGCTCACTGATTCAAGCTCCTGCCTTCCTTATTGCTAGGATGAGAGCTCACAGGGGCTGAGAATTTGGCAGCATGCCTCACTCACTCTCCTACTCATTCCTGCCAGAGAAACAAATGACACAGTCATGGGCAGTTGGGAGCTTTCCCTGAGCACTCAGATGGACTTGGAGTCAGGGACTAATCTGTTAAGTGATGTAAATACAAATAGGAACATAGGTGTTAATGTACGCTCATTTGTTCTTAGACACCTAATGTAATTTTAAGGCATTATAAAACATTGCTGAACCACATAAAATATGTTACTTGTCAGTAAAACTGCTGTTCCCTTATTGGTAGAATATTGCATTCAACCTGAGACTGGAAAAGTCAAATTTGTCCCTCAGAAAGAATACCGATGTTCCTTGTCTTTATTAATTCTATTGATTGTCACCAGCCAAAACAGGACTCATCTTTTCTATTCATCTCTCCCTTGAGTATGTATCATTGTTTCGAGACTGCTTAAAAAAAAAAAAAGTCAGCACACATAAGAAAAAATATTTTTATCCCTGCTGTCACTGCAAATATTAAAACATAAATGCTGTTTCTGGTATTTTTTTTAATAATTTAATTTTCGGAGTAATGTATTCTCATTTTATTACATCCATACACTTTTGTTGGTTTTACATCAAAAAAACCCAGCCCCTAAATTTAGGTAGGAAAATAAGTGCTCAAAACTTTGCATACACAGAAGAAACAGATTTGGTAAGCAAAATAGTTTACTTTTTTTGAAGTGGGTTGGCTCCATTTTGGCATAGTAGCTATTCTGTCCATGACTGCAATTTGAAGGAGAAATATCCTGTTTTCATGCAAATGTCCACAGTAGTAAGTAAAAAGAAAAGAAAACAAACAACAAAACTATATATAAACAGAATGGTTTTGAATGGAACTTTTTGCACAGCTTCTCATGAGACAGTTATTTTTCTATAAACATCACCTATTTTACTCATTAAAGAGAAAAACTGCTGTGGCAACCTTAGGCTGTCAGCCAAAGCTGACAGATATTTTGCAATCCCATTGGCCCAGAGCAGTTCTGAACTACGGAGACTGAATACTTGTTGCAATACACACCACAAATATTTCCACAAGCAATCCAAGATATTTATTGATTTTAATGCGAACAAACTTAGGTATGATATTCCTGGTCAGGAACCCCACATAAGCAGAATCTGCTGACCTGTAATTTTTACCACTTTAGACCACAGGAAATTCACTCTCTAAATATATTTTATACAAATATATTTTTACAACGCCTTTCTCTTCCCCCCCCGTATTCTTCCCCAAACCAAAATGAGCACTTCTTTAGATAGTGAAATCAAGCACTTAATTTCAACATTTTGTAAACTCAGAGTTACACTTTCTTTTCCCTGCATCATACTCATACTTCCTATAATAAAAGAATAATTAAGCTTTTAGTGTGACACTTCAACACTATGCTAAAAAGGGAAATGAATAAATTCTTCTGGAGTACCCTAGAGGTTTCACCAAAGTTATCAAAGCAATTCACAAATGTTAATTGACTTCAGAAGGGGAATTAACTATAGTGGAAATGGCATGGAGATAATGGGACAAAAATGGCAAAACTTTCCACAGATTTTGGGTTCCTCAAAGAAGAAATGAGACTTGATTTTTCTTAACTACTGTATTTGTACAGGGTTTTATATGTCCAAAGCACACTATCAATGACTTGAAACTGCAGCTGGGAGAGCACTCTGCCAATCTGACCCACTGCAGAAAATAAAAAAATGAGTATTTAATGGCCAATGGAAAATTTTGGTCACAACAATTTGGCTATCTTTGATAGGAACTTGTCAGTAAAGGCAGGAATACAATCCCATTCTCGTAGTTGCTGACATTCCTAACCATGAAAACATTCCCCTCTCTTCTATGAGTCTCCTGCCAATTTTACATATATACCTTTTAGTTTCTATTCAGGGGAAAGTATCTTATACTATTCTGAATCATCTGAAGACTGCCCTAAAACTAAGGGGCTAAGTGAAACAGTATGTGATGCATTAAAGATTGCACCATACCAAGAGATGCGTACACACAAACTTCATACCCTGTGAAAAAAAATTAATTGACCGTCTTGTTCTGTCTACCGATTTTGCCTCTTTATAGGACTCTTTATAGAGTCCTAGCACACAATTCCACCACTGGAACTCATGAAGACACGTGTAAGCACTGAAATGCACAATTTGAAAGCAACTTTCATAAGCCAGTTGTGGGCAGCTGAAGCAACAATCAGACACAGAGCTACAATACTTAACTGCAGATTTGGGAAGGAAACATTCTTTATATAACCTTATCACGTTTGTTCATACTTCTCTTTTTTTAAAATTTTTTCTTAAATGACTAACACATTCCAGTACTTGCCTCCAAAATCTGCCTCCAAATCATATTTTCCTGTAGCTTCCCACATTTCTCTACTTCTATTATCATCCTTTCCCCCCAAACCTATCTTTTACCCTATTATGCTCTGCGCTTCTTTATCAGGCATGAGTTTTGACTTCTACCTCTCCACCTGCTTTCATTTCTGCACTTATCCAAGCTTGGAGAAGTGCTGGACAACAAGTTTCGTTTGGCTGAGAATTTTCAGAAGAGCGCAAAAGCGATCCAGCTTGGGACACTGTCTATTTCAGCCCTAAAGACCTAAATTTTGTGAAGGTTAGGATCAAAAGAAAACAGCGTCTTTGGGGAAAAAAGTCTGCATTTGCAAATTGTGCATTATCCAGTTTGTTTTCAAACTAATTGACACCTTGCATTGGGTCTTTCTTTTTCCAGCTGTGGGATGCAGCATTTTCCATCTGACAGAAGCGTAAATGACTACGTATGTGTAGGCAGTGGCACAGGACACCAATGATAGCCTGCGTGGGTTGAATTAACACTACTGGTATTTTTTTTTAATACTTTAAAAGGTTCCTTCATAAAACAGAATGCTGATGGATTTCATTTTGGCATGAAAATTAAATTTACTTCTCTCTGTAGATGATACAATTTTCATACGAAAATATCCTAAAATAAATCTATGTCGCTCTGGAATTGAATTTTCAGAAAAAAACCCAAAACATTTCATGCTCACTCTAGTCATATTAAAAGTGGACAACAAAATCTCCCCT